AAATCTTCCAAGACAAAAAGTATAACGTATAATTTACCCCAATTTAAATAAAAAATTTATAAATTTTGAAAATGGGAAGGGAAGGGCCCCAATCCCCTTCAAGTGAAGTATGATGTAGCAAAGTGTGGGGCAAAGAGAAAAGAGAGAGGAGGGATGGGGCACGGGAGAAGAATATTTTCGTTTGTATGTGGAGTGATTAGTGGGAGGAATTCTCTCTCTCTCTCTCTCTCTCTCTCTCTCTCTCTCGAGTGCATTTGTTGACCTCCTTTGCATCCACTCTCCCAACTTCACACCTCCAATCCATTGCTCAACCGTTCTTTTACTAGCATTGAGCTTTGGGTGTGCTCTTACATGTCAATATTATATTCCCTCCGCTTGTGCCCAAGATGTTGTTGTCAATGACCAATCAATTTCTAAACTTAATTTACCTTATATAATCGTTATCATTTCAAACTTTTTTTTAATCTATCCTATTTTTGTTTTTTTTGTTAAGATTTGTGTCGACTACTCCCTTAAACTTAGCAATTAAGTACTGTGACTTGAGTTGAATTAGAGCATACCCCTTTAGGGACAAAGATGACTAGTCCTTAGGAGATGTGAAAAGAAATTAAACGTAATACCTCTGAATTATCAATAGTCAGACTTAACTATTGGAGCACCCATCAGGGGTGTGATAAATTATGTTTAAATAATATTATTGTTATCTTTTTTTTATTGGAGTTCTCTTTTTAAATCACGATGCCTTGATAAAATATTTATTATTATCTTTTTTATTGGAGTTCACTTTTTTTTATTTTTCAGGCTAATTTACAAATATCATGATTTGATACGGTGTGTCTACGACTATTGACCCAATGTCCAATGGCCTACATATTATCTTTAGATAAAATCTCTTTGCGTCCTATCATATTGTAAACTTTGATCAAATAATAAAGAAAGAAACTAGAAGAAAAAAATATTATTGAGACATAACTAGTCAAAACAGCCTTAAAGAAAAATTACATATAAGAGGTCTTTATATAGTAGGGCAAAAGAAAAACAAACAAACTAAGCTAAGACAACATAAAAGAAAACAAATGATTAAGCTGCCCCTAAGTCTAAATATTTTAACTACTCTAACACCCTCTTTTAAACTTATGATATGGTAATATTAAACATCAAGAGATTGCTAAGAAGAAAATCGGAAGTGCGCTATGGTGTGCGATTTCGTAAAAAAACGATCAGCAAGTAATCAACACAACTAAATTATCTCTGCTGTTATGAAGGCTATAGCATTATTCTCAGTTTCAACAGATGATCGAGTCACAACAGTTTGTTTCTTACTTTTTCACAAAATAAGAGAATCATCAAGGAAAAAACAAAAACTAATAGTGGACTTGTGATCTATAGAGTCACCAGTCCAGTCCGTATCAGAGTAAGTACGGAGTTCCAGAGACTTAGAGGAAGAAAATAATAAACTGAACAAAAATTCAAAGTATAGGCTTAACAAATTAAGGCCCAAATAGCAATGAGGGGTCCAACAAAAAACTAAAGCCCAACAAAAATCACCAGCAATAATGCCCAACAAAACAAAACCCAACAAAGAAGAGAAGAAAATGCAAACCAGTAACCCAACATAAAGAAGCCCAAATCCACAAACCCAAAGGATTTGAATTGTCCAACAAAACAAAGCCCAACAAAGAAGAGAAGAAAAGTCAAACCAACAACTCAACAGAAAGAAGTCCAAATCAACAAACTCAAAGGATTGGGGTTGCCCAACAAAAATCACCTACAACAATGCCCAACAAAACAAAGTCCAACAAAGAAGAGAAGAAAAGTCAAACCAACAGCCCAACAGAAAGAAGATCAAATCAACAAATCCAAAGGATTGGAGTTGCCCAACAAAAACCACCAGCAACAATGCCTAACAAAACAAAGTCCAACAAAAAAGAGAAGAAAATCCAAACCAACAGCCCAACAGAGAGAAACTCAAATTAACACCAGCCCAAATCAAAAACTCAAAGGATTGAGGTTGCCCAACAAAAACCACCAGCAACAATACCCAATTCAAATGGCCAAAAGCCTAATAGTCCAAATTAACAAAAGAATAGTCAAACCAGAACTAGCCTCAAACTAACAGTAGCAAAAAGCATAAACTACAACCAAAAGAAGAACAATCCAAAGTTCGTCATAAATTAACTCAACAACTTTACAAATCAAATACTCATAACAGTCGAATTCGACACTGTTCATAGCCCTTAGAACCATGTTAGCTCTGATGCCATGAAAACTTTGATCAAATAATAAAGAAAGAAACTAGAACAAAGAAATATTGTTGAGGCATAGCTAGCTAGAACAACCTTAAAGAAAAAATACATATAAGAGGTCTTTATTTAATAGGGTAAAAGGAAAACAAACAGACTAAGCTAGGATAACATAAAAGAAAACAAATGACTAAACTACCCCTAAGTCTAAACATGTTAACTACTCTAACACATATATCTCTGATTCCCTAGAAAACACAAACTCTAACATTCGCATCATTGAATCTTTCTTTATTTTTATTGTAGACCCCCAAAAAAAACCTTTTTATTTTATTTATTTTTGAACTTTAAGCATTTATGAAGCAAGAAACTTGATAGGTGCAACCTTGTAAACAAATTATCATCTGAATTATTGGTGCATAAAATGCTATTATAATCTAATCCCTCCATAACTATCAGGATATAGTATTACATTCATGTTATTTTTTTCGATTAAGTATTACGTTCATATTTCTTTGAATGAGTTGATTAATTTGTAACACTGTGACAAATAAAATTTTACATAATTATGTAAACAACAAGTTGACATTACTTTTTTTATATTCAGAATAATCTCTTTTCACCGAAATTTTTAAAATGTGATGGGATCTCTATATAATAAAACTAAATGTCAGGAGTTTGTATACAAATTTGTTTTATATTTATACCCAAAACTAATCTCCCTTCGGCCCACAATCTCTCCGCATCGTATGTTTAGATTCATTTGGAAAGGATTTGGAAAAAACTAGGAAAATATAATGTGTTGAATATTTGAACCGTATGCGAATTTGAGTTTTTAAATCGAATTTAAATTCAAATCGGTTGGTTGGAATCTGATCCATTGACATACTTATTCACGAGTTCGAGTCCATTAGCTAACCTCTCCAAAACAAAGGTAATATGTTTGTTTTTCTGTGCCTTTTTTTTTCATTTTATTTAGATCATGATACCAAAGAACAATCACCATGTGGCAAAATTGTATGCATCTAATCTTTCTCCAATGTCACAAATGACATCTCTATATCTTTTATTCATTGAAACTGAGTTGTTCATTAAAGAACTGATGCAAATTTACCATAAGCATAGTTATCAATATTTTAAGATACGTGATATATATCTTATGATACGTCTCAATAAAATATTCGAACCATAAATATCTATGAATTGAATCTTTTTTGCCACATCTTAGGATATGTAATATGTATCTTACAATATATTTTGATACAATGACAAAACGATCCACTTAATATCAAAACAACATCATTTCACAAGGGTTTTTGTTACCCTAAACGGTGAAACAATGTCATTTCTATATATTTTATTTTTCCTTTTTTGTTTTGATCTCAAACAAATCAAGCATCTTATTCTTCTTCTCATTCGAACAAACAAAATCCTAACTATATTTTGATCTCTGTTGTGAAGACAGACAATTGTCTCTCTTTCGATTTCTATTGGACACACACATTGCAAGAAATGATGAGTGAGTTGAAATGGTATTTATATTATTTGAGACAATACATATTTTGTTATATATGTGCATTTGCTCTTATCATCCACGATACATTATGGTGCATAGTACATTATTTTTAAAAAATGACAAGCATTCTCATACAGATTTTGACAAGAAGTACAATAACAGCAACAGGGAATGAGATCATTTGTAACTGTTCGTAAACAACTTGATGGAAAATAGAACTTTTATGTATTAAATGTATAGTAAAATGAAGTGCTCCTGTAAACAAAGTAAAATCCAACTGAATAATCTGATCTTACAGATGCCAATGCACTCTTGTTCTGTATTGCAGTCGGTTGTTCGTGCTCTCTGTTTTGGTAGAGTTTTTTTTTTCTTCAGAAATCTATATGAAAATTGGAACAATAGCGCTGCACGGAAAATATATCATGGTCAGTTATTCATCAAATTTGAGGTACGAGACATACAGGTCACACAAAATAGTAGTCATTCAATCAGCAAATTTGGCAAGTGACAATTTCCTATGTCTAGCATGTACAGAGTTTCATTTGCAACACTTTCTCTTCTTCTTCTAAAATGTGCAATGACTTGAATCATGGGGATGAAATGTTTGAAGAACAGTGAACAATATTTTTGAGACATCAGTGGAAAAAATGAGAATTTGTTTTGCAGAAAATTCCAATGTGATCAACAAAACAAAGGATTGATTCATTTTCCGTGTATGTGTCGTTTGTGTGCAAGTGTTCATCTGTGTTTTCTGAAGACTCACAGATGCACAAAAAGAATGACTACTTCCGCAATACCCTGGGAAAAAAACCACGTAAATATCACAAGACAAGAGTGTGAGATGAGAGCTGTTTTGCCATTATTGTAATACGGTCTATTTACTAGAAAACACCTTAAGAATGGAAAAGCAAGGGCCATTCTTTTCGATTTGAGGGATGGTAGAAGGTTGTCAATGAAGCATAAATCATCTTGTGCTGCAAACACTTTGGTAGTGCAAAGTTTTTAGTACTACTTGCAGAAAATAGTTCACTTTTCTCAACAACTCGACTAAGCCGAGTCCCAAGTTTTCAAAATATGGAATAATGTTGTGACTGTGGAGAATCAGTAAGTTGTTGGTTGGAATCATGAACTGTCAAGGATTTATTCGGCGAAATTAATCACTCACGAGTAAAATGAATATTAGAAGCATTATGCAGTTACCATTATTTGTTAGATGTCAAACTCTGTTGCATTCCTTCTCTTCATCTCCTCTGGAAGTTGAAGAATTTGATGGCGAAAGCAAAAGTCACTGCGTATAGCACACAGAAACCAACTACTACAATGCTGGCAATACCCAAGAAATCGTGCCTATAATCAAACTGGTCTTTAAGCAGTTGTTTTATTGGCACTGATCGAGTGCCATCAGCAAGCTTTACCAGATCATCCAGGTCTCCGTATTGGGATGTGAGAAGGCCATACAAACTCCAGGCTATTGGATTTGCCCAGTAATACCATCTCCACCATATGGGGATTCTCTGAAGAAGGGAAAAAGACAATCAGACGCAAGAAGTAGCTTAAATGGCTAAGCTAGCCAGGGGGAGTAAAGTGCAAATGGAGTAAAAACTGTTCATTTGATGCTTCTAATGTCGAGATTGGGATCATCTGAATTGCCATTAGTTTCTGAACTCTTCTCAAAGTGTGGCTAATAATGCCATGCCAAAGACTACATTTATAATCCACTGTACTATAGAAGGATAAAATAGTCTGGCAAAAATAGTGTCGCTGAAGTGTACAGAAAGAGCAGACTGCCTTCACATGCTCAATGATGCCTCGAGAAATGAATACTATGTTTATAGCTAAATGTCACTATTACATAATGCTATATCATTATACACAATTAAGATGCGATTTCTATAGTACGAGATACAGAGGATAGTTTGATACAGGGGAAAAGCAATTCCCAATGCCTTACCATGTGAGGAATCATGAATCCACTGAAAAGGTTCCACATCATATAGAACGGTGCAGCAAGGATTGCAGCAATATTTTGATTAGGAGTAACAGCAGTCGTCATCATTCCAAAGAAGGTGAAGTATAGTAAAGTGAAATACATGAAGTTTATGTACCAAATAAACTTCCAAGGGCTCCACTCAAAAGATGCCATGAAGTAGAAGATAGTGCTGTAAATCAGTGACTGTACAAACACATAGGGGAATTCAATCGTAACCTGAATAAAAGAATTCAGTAAAGTGTGTTAGCATAGTATTTGGAGACCATTAAGTAACTACAAGAAAACTATTGCAAGGGAACAGGAAAGAAGGCAATTAGGCATGCCTGTGCAAATGCAAATGGCAGAGCAGAATACATCCCTGCTGCTCTCTCTCGATATGTGACAAACCTCTCAACATAAACCACAGGTTGCACAGAAGTGGCATTTGTGATTCCAATAAATAAGACTGCTGCATACATGGATCCCATAGCATTAACAATATCCTGCTGGGTTTCCCTGTTGAATGAAGTGCGATACAGATAAGTGAGTGCAAATATTCAGAATCTTTGAAGATGCTTTAACCAGCAGAAGTCAAGTTGCGGGGTAAAATGTAAAGGAGACAAGGTGGAGAGAAGCCACATAAGGGAAGACATTTATGTCTTTCCCATACTAACAGGGATCCGAGGATATCATGTTTGATGAAGTCATGCAATATGCCTCTCCCAGTAAATGGGACCTTTTTCAGGTAAGTCTCAACAGGGTCTAAAAAGAATATTATTGTGGTTATTGTTCTTTCGACACCATTAATCTTTTCTTCTGTAAACTGCTAACTGTCATTCAACCCGACAAAAGAAAGTAGAAATTGCTAAATAGAACCATGTTAGCGAACAACCTGGACGCTAGGATGCATTCATAATATAATGCCTAACTGAAGAAAGGTTAAATTTTCTATTTTCCAGGACTCAATGCTCACTTGATCAGTATAAAGACAAGTTTCAAGAAAGAAACCTTTTAGAACCAAATCTCCAGCATATTGTTCCAAACATCAAAGATATGATAACTGTGTAGAAGAAGCGTACAGCAGTGTACTGTGGATTCCTCCAGTAAGACAGGTTCTGCTTCCAAAGACACGCTAGAAACTGGGCAAAAAATGACCTTGAGTATTTGCTTGGGAAGATTAATTCATTGGAATCACTATTTGGTTTGCTTAATCTTTCAACCAGGTCTTTATTTCTCCTGCAACAACATACAACTGTATAAGAAAGCAAAAACTAACTGGTTGAAATAAGCACGCCTCTGCAAAAGAAAAAGATGCACATACTCAGAAAGATTTGATCTGCGATAAACTTCTGCAAAGTCCAAACCAAGGCGAATTTCTTCTGCTGGAGAAGTGACCTCCAGAATCCAAGTAGCAGGGTTATATCCAGGCCTGATCTTATGAACCCCTTGAACTGCCTAGGAAAATGAAGACAGATTTAAGTATTAAGGAGCTCAAGACCATATCAAGCTTAGTTTTTCCATCCAGGATATACATCAACAATTTCAAGCCCACCTGAAAATACTGAATAAGCTTGCAAGATCTTTTGCCCAAAGGACCGGCATAAATGAGCTCTCCGCCTCGTTTCATGAGCACAAGCTGTGATAAGAGTATGGATGTAGATTACATCCAATAATGGATAAAAAATTATTGAATTTATCACCTAAAAAAATATATGGTACAGCTATATCTCCTGCAGCATAGTCGTGGTCATGCACTCCAATTTCAATACAGAAACTATTGCATTGCAAAGGAGTGACTGGAAAACCTTCATCACAATTTCAGTCACTGAGGATTGAGTATTTGAATTTTTATCCGATTATTGGAACCAAAATTGCGTTGCATCTTCCTCTTTTAATGCAAAAATTAATTGCTCACTAGCAATAATAATGTGCATCAAGACAACTTCTCGGTGACTTAACTATACTATATTACGGAAATCAGACCACATTTGAAGAGAACTTCAAATAGTCATACTCATACACTGTCTCGAAAAGCATACTACACATTATGAGTACATGCATGCATGAATTTATGTATTTAGTTATCTAACATCCATCTCGAAACCACCTTTTGCTAATGCAATTACTTCATTTGCAAAATAATGGTAAATCTTCTATTTGGCAAATTCATTGTCCGCAGTTCATCCAAGTTCATGAAAATCGATTTTATGTTTTGATGCAGTCTAACTTCTTCTAAAAAACAGTTCCAGAAAAAACAAATAACTTACTAAAAAAAACTTGGATGAAGTTATAATTTTAAAGGTTTTTTATCGAAATAATAACTTAATGTACAGTGTAGTTTTATTTATTTATTTTTGTTGGCATTTTGTCGAGGCTTTGAGCAAGAAATTGCCACACTTGTCCCTGCAAAATTGGCTTTGACTTATATCAAATACCATTATTGACCAATAACTTTCTGACACATTTTTAATGTTAGAGCTTGTTTCATGTTAATAAAATAACACTGCCCAAACTACAATATGAGCCTTGTGAGCCTCTCTACTCATTGTGATTTGGATTTGAGTTGAATATTTCAACACAGTATCAGAGCTGGGTTTCAGGTGTTAGGCAAGTCTTAATTTCAACAAGTTAGTAATTGATTCCTCCTATGATTGTGCCATACATACACTTGTTATGCCTTTGAATAAGTATTTTGATTCTTCTGGTTATCTCTCCCTGTACCAATGAGGGTCGCATCTGCAGGAAAGGGGTTGATTGTCTCACATTGCTAAAACAGCACCTTCCAAACTATTGGGCGAGCCTTGTGGGCCTCTATACTCTTTGTCAATAGGTTTTGAGTTTGATACTTTAGCCCATATTTTCTAAATTAGAAAATTAAATACTTTGAGATCCTTTTTTCTAAGAGAGAAAATAAAATTGCTCCTTAATGAGTTTTAAATAGAAAACAATAGAGAAATACCTCGTCAAAAGATTCAAAAATATCAATGCTGGGCTGATGGATAGTGCAAACAATTGTCCTCCCAGTGTCTACGATATTCCTCACAGTTCTCATTACAATGGCAGCAGCCCTAGCATCCAGTCCTGAAGTAGGTTCGTCCATGAACACAATAGAAGGATTGGCCACAAGCTCAACAGCAATCGTCAGCCTTTTTCTTTGCTCTGTTGACAACCCATCAACCCCTGGTAGACCAACTAATGCTCCACTTAATGGAGTAAGTTCGACAAGTTCCATAACCTCATCTACAAAAGCCTGCAAATTGACACTCAAGCATGAATAAATTTCCTAAATGAAGAAATCACAAATAAAAGAAAAACGAAATCAGGTAATCACCCTTTGTGTTTTTAAGCCAACATCTGAAGGTAACCGGAGCCAAGCAGAAAACAGGAGTGATTCATGGACAGTCAAACATGGAGAATGAACATCATTTTGTTCACAGTAGCCAGAAACCCTTGCAAAAGTTTCTTGCTTTTTGGGGTACCCAGAAATATATATAGTTCCTTGAATATGTCCCCCTGTCTTCCTACCAGCTAAAACATCCATGAGGGTAGTTTTTCCAGCTCCACTTACACCAACTAAAGCAGTAAGGACACCTGGCCTGAATGCTCCAGTAACATTAACTAACAATTGCAATCTGTCTTCTGATAAACCGTGATGCTTCAGTTCCTGAAGCAATATGCAGATAAAATAATGAACTTTTCAGAAAAAAAGTGAATTCCTTTCAAATTGGTTTACAGACATAAGCTGCTGATATACCATAGGAACATCCACGTAATAACTGATGTTGCTGAAAGACATGGACAGAGGTTCAAATGGAAGAACCATGCCTTTCTGTCTTACACTTTGTTTTCCTGCAACAACAAGAAGTCATATTTTAAAGATCTTCTAATAGCATCAACTAGATCAATTCAAATTATAATAATGCGAGACAAACCAGTGAAAGAGTGTGAATGTTGTAAAAATTGTCTTAGCTCAAGAACTGCTTGTTCATTCTCCTTTTTCTTGACTTTGTCTTGGAGCTCCTCCTTAGAAACGACGGCTTGCTGGTTTCCAAGGGCTGTACAGATGAAAAAAAAAAAGTAGGATCTTTATGGTTTTCTCTTATTTAGAATAAGCTTCAAAGTTAAAGTTTGGCTGGTAACAAAATTAAGCCTGGCATCCTGGAATGACTTAGGTTAGCTTCTAAAATTTTGATGACGTTATGATGCTATCAGTGTTTAAAACATAAATAATAGAGGACTCTGCAAGCTAGCTCATGCAGAACTGGCCTTTTCATGATGCAAAGTACTCTCCAAGAGGGCGCTACTATACAAGCCATTTGAAGAAGGCTCTGCGCCCCTCTGAGTGTCGGGATCCTCATCATAGTGTCATACTACATTATATCAAATGGTGCACACTACTGCCTTGATTCCTGAATAGTGGCTGTGAAAATAATGACAATGATATTCTTTATTTTTTATGATCAAATATTTTTAACCATCAAAGTTACTATACTTCTGTTTGAAAAATGATAGCAATGTGAAACTTGGGGAATCATCTTGTGGAATTAGCATCCCATCCATGCAAGAATCCAATTGGAACTTTTCCTGATATACTACTTAGTACTTACGGTTGAGGTAAGTCAGGAAACTTGTGAAGAAGACGTTGAACAAAATTGTGTAACCGAGCAAAGCTCCCACACCAATCCAATACCAATAACCCTCTGGAAATAAACTGCGAACCTGTAGTAACGTCTGGCCCAAAGACAAACTAGTCTGGTTCCCAGCTTTCTACAAGTCAAAGACGAAAACAAATATAATTCCCCAAAAAACTGAGTTCAAATCGCCACATAACAATCATACAAAGTTGAGAGCTCATAGAAGGCATGAATTCAAGTTACAGCTGTTATTGAATTGAGTAGCTAGAACTGTTCATTCAATCTTGTTCGAAGGGGCCACATGAGCTAAGCCCGGCCTTAGGTTTTGAATCAGTTGCTAAACAGGACAAACTTGATGCATCAATTGGCCTCTTTTCCTGATGAAATAGCTTGTTAACACATGTAACCTTTTACCAGATAAGTAGAGTTAGGCCTCCCAGAAAAGCCTATGAGTCTTATGTTACTTTTATCTTATAATACAGGGGAGGGGACTCAAAACCATGATCTACTAGTGCACAACAAAAGTATTTTGCCACTCGGGACCAGCAGATCTAAGTTTTATGTTACTCGCTGCCCATGGCTATTGGTTTTGAGTTGGATGCTTTGGCATAATATCAAAGCAGAGTTTTAGGAGACCCATGAATCAAGATCAATCATTTTTTCTCCCATTGCATCACTCAATTATGTTATCGTTTATTCCCCTATTAAGTAAGTGAAGTATAACATAATATGGTCGTAAGTGAGTAAGTGTGTTGGTCTCTTCGCTTGCAAGTTGGGATTGGAAGCGGGAGATGTTAAAAGAAGAGTGTCCCACATTGGTGGTGCACGGCCCCCAAAACTCCTCTTTAATTATCGCCAATTAATTTTTAGTTGGATGTTGAAGTCATTTTAGAATTTCAAAAGTAACTTAAAACATCAACTTTTCATTTATATCACATAAAGGCTGCACCTCACAAAGCAGAAATATGTGATGATTTCGCATTCTTGTAGGTTTCATACAATGAAGCACAAATACTTCATTGAGGTCAACGTATCGATATTAGATATGATACTCAACGGATACTCAAAGATACGGATACACCTCCTATGTACCCAATAATAATAAAATATTTAGTGGAGCAATATGTATAATTTTTTAATTTAACCATTAAACATATCCCTTTCATACCATACAAAACATCAACAAAAATTCATATGACTTTGAAGACACGAGTTTTTTTACGTTTTGTCTACTATTACATGTTAAAAGGGCATCAAATGAATCTATTTATACTTTTAGCAACAAATACTTCTAAGCAAACTAACTAAGTAAATATTAGTTTTGATTCTTGTAATTAGTCACTTTACTTTGTGAATGTACTATAATAATACGATAAATACATTTTTTTTAAACTAAAGAAAAAGTGTCAATTTTGCTTATTATGTTAAAGAATTACCAAAATATATAATTATTAAGTAGATGATAGTAAAAAAATGAAACATATTTTACTATAGACATATCCTAGTTGTAGCCGTATCCTACTTTTTTAGATTTTGTCGTATCGCTATATCCATATCGTATCATACCTGTATCCCGAATCTATATCCATGTTTCATAGGTGACATATATCAAAGTCCACTGGTTCAGTAAATTTTATACTATTGAGTATTGACATTTCTACCTCATCAAATATAGCAGAAACAATGATCGTTTATAAATAACATCCTAACAAAGCATTTGGTATCTTTTCCCATCTGGTCACATATAAACGGTTTCTTTATATCAGCTTCTAAGTATTGTGAGTTCTGTTAATCAACAAAGAAAAAATAATAATTGAACCAGAGGCTCAGTTGGTTTGGGTTACTCATTCACAACCCTAATCCCTAATATTGCTTTTTGATCATAAACAGTAGGTTGCATATTGTTTGAATTATCCAACCAAAAGGAAGAAACTGGGCTTAGTTGGTTTGAGTTACCATCCACAACCCTAATCATACCACTACTTTTTGATCATAAAAAGTAGGTTGTGTGTTGTTTGAACTTATCCAACCAAAAGGAAGAAACTGACACTAAAACCCAAAACCATGAACAGTTGCTATTAAAAATTTCTTAGATCCAGAAAAGTGCAACTTTATTGACGTAGATACATGTAACAGTTATGTAGCATTTTTGTGGTAGTTGTCCACACAAAGAAAATAAGATAAATGTCATGCTTTCAAGAGTAGCATAAATGATTTGCACACAGTCTAAGAGTGGAAAGAATATTTTCACCACTACAAGTCTATAATAAGTAGAAAAGACAGAGGACCCAGAAATATTGTGTATGAAATCAGATTACCTTATCCCAGGAATGGCCGAGAAATTCATTCACCGAAGCAGAATTTTGAGCATACATCAAAGGAGAAAACCAGTAACCCCAGATCCACCAACGTGGAATGCTATCTGTTGCAATAAGAAAGATTAGTTCACAAGCTGTGCATTTTTCGACTTTGAAGTTCACAAGATAGTGAAGTAAGTTAGATGGAACAGGATAGAAACGAATCTTTAACCTCTTGAAATGACAAATCCTCCGAGAGCCATCACAACCAACATTGCAAAAGATCCAAAAGTATTGGCAACTATCATATTTCTGCCTAAGGATGCCATCACACGGAAGAGAGCAATTGACATCTGGTGCATAGAGAAATACAATAAAAACTGCCGAAGGCATCTGCAGACAATTGTATTAGTCAGATGAATCCATCTAAAATTACCCCCAAAAGAGGATACTATGAAAAAAAATTGAGTGACCAAGGAGGAAAAGCAAAGTGTGTACCTAGTACTTTGGGGATCAAACCCAACCACGTAGTATGTAGCTGCCACCCATATACCAGACTCAAAAATCGACAATGGAACACTCAAAAGCCAAGAAGGAAGTGTATAAACCCAGCACGGATAAAAGTGCAAGTCTCTGTGCTTGTAAAAAACAGGAAGCTTGGCAATCAACATAGGGACCTCCATGAAGCCATTGAAAAGAATCATAACTATCGCAAAGTAGAGTGCACCAAGATAAACACCTCCGTCGTCAAGAGTATTATGGTGCATTGTTGTTCGGAAAAACACACTCATCATGATCAAAATGACTAAAAGAAGCTGCAAATTAACACAGAGCTCCCATATAAGCGCATGTTAGCTTGAAGGATACAATCATTCTGCCAACATAAATGTATTTATCATCTTGTGGTGATGGACCTACAAGCCACTGCCACCAAACAATTAATCATGGAAAGGAAAGGATAATACTTTTTAATAGAAAGGAGGCAGCTCTAGTGACTCAATGTGATAACTATGTTTGGAAAGACATAGTCCAAGACCCCACTAAGGAATTTATTGTCAAACTAAGCTAAAATTATACAGTACAACATTGTATATAGAGATAAGAATCAAAGTTTCATGAATATGGTCTGATGTTCGGTGCTGTGACCTCGTCTGCCAGAAAGTCTGGTAGCAATGTCCATGCTAAGTGCAAGGCATTTAGCCTGGGATGATGACAAAGCTGACGAAAACATTACCTGCATGAATTTGAACACAAAGACAAATGAATTTCGTTTCAGTAGTAGCATCTGCCAGGAAAAACTGATCTTGAGAAGCTCAGCCCTCTTTACACCATAGGCACTAGTTGAAAGAGCTGCTGGATGATTATAGCGTGTATCAAATGGAACAGCCAGCTCCTGGGACAAATAATTACCCACCCAAAATGATCGAAAAGCTTCTACAAACTTTGCCACAGGCACATACTGGTAATGGCTATCAAGGAACCAATACTGCTGCTGATCTTTTTCTGATGTAACCTGTGTTAAATCATTCAAGAGGAAAAAGCAATCAGAATGTTACTCGGTATGCAATAAATTCAGAGATCAAAATCCACATGCATACTTCTTGCAAAAAATCAGCAACATTTTTCCTATCTGGACACCGAAAACCCATGGAAGCAAAGAATATGAGAGCAGCATCACGGGGCCCCTGATATAGAATCTGCCCTTCACTTATAAGTATTATATCGTCAAACAACTCATAAGTCTCAGGATCTGGTTGCAAGAGTGAAATGACTGTAGTCCCATCAAGAGCATGAGTTGTGTGCCTAAGATAATTAACAATTTGATGCGTTGTTGAACTATCAAGCCCAGTTGATATCTCATCCATGAAAATCACTCTATATGCACCCATTAGCAATTCAGCTGCCATCATATGGCAATTTTGTAAGAAGTTAAGCCCCAAAACTTGGCCAGGCACAAATGAGTAAAGATTAAACTTAAAAGAGTAGGGGTAACTACCAGTAGTAAGACGCTTCTTTTGACCCCCAGAGATTCCTTTGAGCATTTCATCTCCCACCAATGTATCAGCACAAATATCCAATCCTAACATCTTTGTAAACATTTCATAAGGATATAAAAAATGTGTAAAATATTTCCCACACACAGCTGCAAAGATGAAAAGTCTGTTCCAGAATTTAATGCATCAGGCATATGCAAAGGTAATTCCAAAATTAAGATTCAATGAGACCAAAAATGCTCAGTAACAACTGAAGTATGATGACAATGTTGTCCTTTCCAAAGAAATGATTCTTTTCCAAGAAAGAATGGTGCAACTAATTTTATATCACTACTCGCTAGTATTTAAAATTCAGCCCAAAATGCCAGTTTTCCTTTGTGGGTTCTTAAAATAACAGTGCTGTTCATATAGAAAAACTGAAATCAGGAAAAACTAAGAATTGCAACACATCATACTCAATAGCCATACACAGAGAATATGTTAATACAGACCCTGAGATAAAGCCATTAGTTGCCTCAATGACAAAAAAAATTGACCTAATCTATTAATGTACCTTCATGATATATTCCACAAGAAGGCTTGTCTGCTCCCCCAGTGCTACTGCCTAAAGTGAACACAATGAGTTTAATAGTGAAACAAACACATGTTTCTTACTCGCTATTCATTAACACAGACATACAACATTAAAGACGGCGTCCACTAACCTTCACAAATATATCAAGATCTTCATCCGGATTTATCCCGGCATTCTTCTCTCTTCTTAAAAGTTCCAAAAGCATATCTGTTTCAAGTTTTCATTGGTGCCATCAAGTTTCAATGACAGACAACTTCAGTAAAATCAAATCAGAAGCATGGTTACAAAGACAGGCACTCACACACCAACCCCCATATGCACACACACAAGATATACTTGAGCTTACCCTGCTTGAATCCAACACCTTGACAACGTCCGGAGAATGTGAGAGTCTCCCTCACTGTCATTTCTGCCATGTGCCAGTCCTTCTGGCTGACATATGCTGAAGTCCTTTGGGGGACAAACTCCTTGAAGTCATGCCCATTGTATGTAATTCTCCCTGACATCTTCAAAGTGACTCAAATCCATTACTGAGATATAACAAACCAAAAACTCAAGATGATAACTATCGCCATGTTCTATTGAAATCATTTGCTAGGTGTTTGGTTTTCCAATTCTTTAGTGTGCACACCTGCATTGATGAGATGTGTAGCATTGTATCCACCTCCACCCCATCAAACACAGCTGTTGAACTCCTTAAAAATATGCAGAGAGAGATGCTACTCATTACAAGAAGGCGACTTCTTGAACAAACTTTTATATACTTCCTTATAGACATTTGAACAACAAGGATATCTACAATCATTTTAAGGTATCTTTTTTTCAAGCGTTTGTCCAGAAAACTGGTCCACACTTAAAAAATTAACACTACATTCAGGAATTTGAAAAAAGGCATCAATTCTGATGCAATAAATACCTGCAGACCAGGTCCAAGTCGGCCAGCAAGAGCCAACAGCAGTGTCGTCTTTCCAGAGCTTGGAGGACCCAAAAGCAGAGTCAATCTAAAGCAAAACAACAAAACTCAACATACATAACTGGATGAAAAATCTAAGTCATGATCTAATCAAGCTCAAACTTTACCTGGAAGGCCTAATAATACCACTGATGTTGTTTAAGACAGATAACTTCTTTCTTCTGCTAGGGAAAATTCTGAACTGCCTCCAGAAAGCCTTTGAAAAAAAATTGAAGAACATATTGTCAGAAACTAATGATAAGTAGGTCTATGAAAGCATTCACGCCTGAAAAATCACCTCAGACATGTTACAAATGAAATTGGGAATAGTAGGCAATGCTCTGCTTCCAACATGTATGTATGCATCTACTCTCAGATCCTCAAATCGAACCTCAATTTTTGGGAATTCCAAATCAACGCTACAAAATAAGTATACTAAGTCAGGTCATAGAAAAAGTGTATTCCCATGAGAAAAGTTAATAGAAGGTAATTGTAAAAGGAAAAACATACAATGTCTGTGTTAGTAACCCAAAAGTACAAAAGAGAAGGCAATCCAAATGAGATATATGAGAGAACTAATTTAAGGAAATTAGAACGCACTAAGTGTAGAACATCAAGCTGTATCCACATCTAAATTCTTTATGAAGTCAGCTCCTTCACATTGACAGACACAACTCAATATAATCTCCATTTAAACATATCTTAATCCTAAAGTAATGCCGCTCATAGCACTGCAACCGCTGATTTTAGAACGTTCTAGGATGCCCAGTTCACCAGGATTGAGTTTTTGACTGAATGCTTACCTCAGTGATAACATTACCAGACTGTCCGCAAGAGTACAAAAAGGGTCCAGAAACCTTATTTCCCATGACAGAAATAGGAATAACCCCACCAGGAGGAATATCATATACAACTCTTGGAAGAAAGGTTTTCAACTCTGGGACTACAACATTGAAGTAGGTTTGAAGGAAACATGGGCTGTCATGAAAACACAAGCCAAGAACATGTAACATGATTTGAGCCAGTTATGGCGCCACTACCCTGCAATTTCAACTACAATTATTTTTGGCACATCATGCCAGTTCAATATTCCACTTGGCCTAATTACTGTTTCTTCATTTTCTTCGTCAAATTTTTGTCTGGAAATAAACTATAGCAAAGAGATATCGGTAATTATAATGGAAAACTAATATGAAGTGAAGAACAAATCTTTCATGACACATGCTATCACGACCATGACATGTGCAACACACTAAATGAAGTGACCACATGAAGATTGAGAGTATCATGGATAAGGTAGCTGATTACCACAATTAATCCTGGCCTCAACTATATGTCCAATGGCTGACACTAGTGTTCTCATATCATTTTGTAGTGAGCACAAAGTGGAGCAAGAAAATGAACTAACCATACAATATCACATCATAAGCCCGTCATCTTTATTTTTTATCCCTGAAAACCTAATATCCACAGGACAAAGTTGGTGAATTGCTTCTCGGAAATACTAGGCGCCAATGCTTTAGCTGTTAGGATTCACATTCAGAGCAACCAAATTGAGGTTCTATGAGCAGATGCAAATTGTGTCGAACAACAGCAATTGTTTGCTCTTCAAAAACATATTCGAGATTGATATACACTGTTGGACCCATTCTCCAAAAAGCTTAAGCTTTTGGAGTAATTCAGAGTCTCACATTGTATTAGATCTATATTCCATGAGGTCTGGAGTTCAGGTCTGAGTGTCAGCATATGATACCCCATTGCATTTGTACAGACTGACATCTGCGTTTATTGGCACATATTGGTGTACTTGGTGGTATATCTCCCCATGAGTAAATGGGGCTTAACGTGAAGATGGTGTTGAGACTTATTTTAATTAGTTGGGCCCATTCTCCAAAAAGCGTAAGCTTTTGGAGCAATTGGTAGTCTCACAAACATAACAAAACTAAAAACCGTGAGAAATTATAGTGTTGATATGTTCAATAGACAGTACATGAATCTGAAAATTGTACCAAAATGATCGAATATTCGTTGTTATGGGTTTTAAACTTTACTTTCTTTTGTTTCGAAGTATTCCTTGCCAACCAAGCAAAGAGTCTCTTAGTGGACATATTGCAAACACCTATCAATCAAAAATGCAATAGACTAACGACAATAATGAAAACCCACTAAACAAAATGAAGAAAACAATTCAATGATCAAACTTACGCGTCGAATCTTTGTCTGACTCTGTTGAAAAACAGCTCTGGATTTTCATTAATGACACTAATCAACTTATCCAACACAGCCTTCTGCTTTTGAACTTCAAGTTTACCAACATCTACAAGTGAAAACTCTCCCGACAGGTTCCGAAAAATAGACGTCCGAGCTCGAACATATGTAGGAGATCTCTGCAGAGCAGCCACCCAGAGAGCTTCCTCATCCTCGTGAACCCCATATTGGTTTGTTCTTGCGAATATGTTTCCCGAGGAATTCCACATTGTGGTGGAACGATTTTGGAGAGAAAAATGGGAAGTTGTTTATGGCATTGGATGATTTGGGAAGATTTAAGGCTGGGTTTAAAGAAGTGAATGAGAAGAGAGGTTTAATGAGATGAACGGTATTGGATGAATCCATCCAACAACTTTGCCGATTCATAGTGGTGGTTGAGCTTTTTGAATAAATGGGCTGTCGCCCTTTATTTTCCATCTCTTTTACTCTCACTGGTCCTCTATGGTAATCTCTGTACCAAACCCAATTCTTCCATGTGTGTGTGTATGTGTGCGTGAGAGAGAGAGAGAGAGTTTTCAAAGAATCAGCTGGAGGAGGTAAGAAATTTAGGTCAAGACTTTTGAGTCTTTCAAAAGTAGTTAAAACGGTTGGGAATAAGGGCTACCCCTTCTAGGGGCATCGTCTTCGTTTCAATTCCAATCAGAATTTTAGTCATTTTGTTGGAGTCATACTTGGTGCAACTGCATCTATGAAGACTGAACTTCCGCACCCTTGACAAAACTAACCATAATTTAAAAATAATTTATATTCATTATTTAAAAAAAAAATTGATTTTTTTTTAAAATTCATTACCTAAAAAAAATATTAATATATATACACTATTGTATATAAACAATATTTAAAATAAAAATTATATTAAGCCACAAATTAATCAAAAAACAAATAACTCAACTTATGATATAAAGAGGTGCCGTGATATAAATAAACGAAAAAAATATGTAGGGATAAAATTTAAAATATTAAATTCTCTAATCTCAAGTTATCAAAAATTTAATGTGAATCATATGAATTATCCTTTTTTATTGTTGTTTATTAAGGTCATACTTTCCATTAGATTAGTGAGCAAATCATTTTTTTTACCATCTAGTTCAAAGTTATTTTAAATTTAATTCAACCATTCAAAAAAAAAGGTCTTATACTTAGCTTTTAAGTCTTGCATTACTCTAAATATGTATGAAATCATTCTTCTCTAATGATGCAAGGTCGTGTATAAACATGTTCAAATCACCTCAGTTAATCCTCTATTTATTTATTTTGTATTGATTCTATTTCTATAGTTTTATGAATGTAATCATTTTTAATTCAAATATTTATTGGTTTATGATGCATTTGTCTTAACATTCTCATTTATATATCACTTCGTTTTTTAGCTTGTTTCCTTTATACTTTTTGATAAAATTAAAAAGAGTCCAATTATATACACACATATACGTATAATATCATTTAGATTGAATTACATTCAGACCTCCTGAAAGTTTGTACGCGCATAACACTCACACCTCTATCGTCAATGTTTGTTAGGATATCCGTTAGTAAATTACATCTAGACCTTTTGAAGTTTGTACGCGTGTAATACTTAAACTTCTCAAGTTAAAAATATTATATTTAAACAAAAAAATACTCAAATCAAAAATAGAATATCAAATACTTTAAATTTTACAACCAAAATTCATGTTCTATTATAACATTTATTGAAATAAAATCAAAAATAAAAATTTAATTTTTTCTTAAAAGATCATAATTAATAAACTACCAAATTATTCTAATTAAAGTTATAAGATATTGTATTAATTACAGTTTGACCCTTTGTTTATTTTTTAGTTTTATTCCAATAGATAGTATAATTGTATATTAATAATATTTTTTAAGAAAAAATTAGATTTTTATTTTTGATTTTATTTTAATAAATGATATAATAAAACATAAATTTTAGTTGTAAAATTCATGTTTTATTATGAATGTTTTTTAGTTTTATTCCAATAGATATTATATATATATACTAATTACGATTTTTTAAGAACAACTAGATTTTTATTTTTAATTTTATTCAACAAATGATAAAATAGAACACGAATTTTGATTGTTAAATTTAAAATATTTTACATTCTGTCTTTAATTAGAGTATTTTTTGTTTGAGTATAACATTTTAAACTTGAAAGATCTAAATATAATATGCTTACAAATTTCAAGGGGTCTGAGTGTATTTTACTAACATATATATTACGGCAAGAGTCTAAGTGTTACGTGTGTACAAATCTCAAAGGGTTTATATATAATATTTTAAATGTCAAGGAGTCTGAATGATTAAGTGACAAATTTTAAGAGGTCTAACTGTAATTCTCCCTATTATCTATCTAAATAGATAAAATCTATCTATTATTTTTTAAAAAAATTTAGCATTTTTTGAATGGGTCAAAAAATCTTACACCTACCATTATTTTTTTTTATATAGGATCCACACTTTCAAATGAAAGAGTGTTAGAGATTTTTATCCATGACAACCACACTCAATCAAAAATTGTAAAATTAAGGAAATATGGAAGAGTGTTATGATCAACTCATCAAAGACCTTTAAATTTAGCCTACCACTTTCTACCAAACCTTTCATGTGGCTAATCCCAAGCCATGTCTTGATGAACCCAATAAAGAAGTTGAATTTATTACCAAAATATTATCATTTTCAAATAAAAATACTCATTTATTGTACTTTCAGCTTATTTACCAATTTATTAAAATTTTAGAAAGTAGAATCAACAATTCCACTTTCAACAAGTAATACAATAAAAAGGGAAAAAAATATTTTTATAAATATTAAAAACATTCTTGTTGATTTTGCTTTTTTGGTGAAAGCGGAATCAACAATTCTTCTGTCCAAAACTACAGTAGATCGGTAAATAAATTGAAAAGTGCGATATATCGGTATTTTTATTTGAAAATGACAGTATTTTGATAGTAGACTCCAAAAAAGTTATTCCTTAGTATTAAGTGGCACATAATTGATTTTTACTTGGTCCCATATTCATGTTGTTGATAATCAATAAAATGTGTCCCGAGCTGATATATCACAGATACTGTCTCATTCCTAGGCCATCGCACAGATAACTGTCCAACCATTTTTCTTGTTATCGTGCATACTTGCAACCCACGCTTATAAGGTGAATCAAGATATATTCAACATAGCTTATACTTGAAGCATCCAGATAATAACTTCTAAGATAGTATCATTTAAAATGATTTTTCTTCCTCAGATAGTATCACTGATTTTTAACTTATTCTTCAAACTATTGTTGTAAATATGATTTAAACTCATTCTTCTTAATATAAAAGTACGGAAGCAAAAAAGCTCTTTCAGGTTTTTTTTTTGTTTTACATTAATACGTGTCAGTTTAAATCACCATTTATTACAACCAGCGAATCCAGATGACATGTTTAACCATTGAATCACTCTTAAGAGTTAGTCAATCTTGTTTCTCGGGAGATATGTTCTAAACCCGTTCGAACTACGGTGTTTAATATTTGAGCTCGATGAAGTAATCGACACAAGCCTGAATGCCCTGTAACAAAAAATGACAATATAATAAACTAAGTTAGAAAAAACAAAAATGAAGAAATAAAGATAAATATTGAAATTGATTCTATCAAAGCTTAAGTTTTAATTGTACCACCCAAATAAAGGATGAGAGCAATCTACTAGTGAGGTGAGGCACAACATAAGCAATTAGTACCCACCTTAAGGAGCGGCCCTTTATGGTAAGGGTAGTGAGTCACTCTCCACCCCAATTGTGAAGTTTCATAACCCAACTAGAATCTATATAATAAAGTGTAATACAATTTAAATGTCAAAAGATAAATAAAATAATTTTTATTTTTTACGGTTAAGATTGTTTTAAAATTTTATTTTAAAGTTAACCTAACGACTAATATTACCACCCCAAATTAATAAAAAAAATAGGACTTTAAAAGTGTGTTTGGAATAACTTTTTAAAAATATTTTTAAAACTTATAACTTATTTTTTTTATTTAAAAAATAGTGTTTGAAACCACCACCATTGCCACCCCACCACCATGACTTTTGCCTCCGCCCCACCATTACCATCACCACCACCACTATCGTTGCCACCACTCAACCACCATCTCTGTTATAACCAACCACCACCACTACCGTTGCCGCCACCCTTCCACCACCTCTTCCACTGCCCTACCAGCACTGCCGTCACTCTACCCCTCCCCCCCACTGCCCTAACACCATCATCCCCACTACTACCACCCCCACCATCACCATTACTGCCGCCACCCTACCACCAACGTCAATGTCCTATCACTACCCCTACCACCATCATCCTCACTGTCCCCCACCCCCACCACCCTAAACATCACCATCTACCATTATCATCATCTTATTCTTATATTTATTTTCACTGTCTCCATCACCCTTACCATCACCACCAATGTTGCCACCTTACCACCACCGTCATTGTCCTACCATCATCTCTATCACCCACCATTATCATCGTTGCCATCTAAGACTGCCACCATCAGTAATGACAGTTCTCACCCACCACAACCATCACCGTATCCCACCACCACTACCACCATTTGCCTCCCACTATAATCGATGCTTAAATTCATTTATCTTTCTTCTATCTTTGTAATTTGATTTTGGGTGTAAATATAAATTAGTTTATTGTTGATCATTTTTTTTATTATTTCGTGCCTTCAGGCACGAGACATAACTAGTTTTCTTATATTACATATGATGCCCAATATTAAAGTCTATTTGTACACTCTAAACATTTCTGCCAAATTTATGGGTTTTGAAATCCCCAATTTAACAATCTTATTTTTGAGGTTAGTGTCTAACCTAATGGTCACCGATTCCATCGTCAATGTCAATGAGTTGACTTTTAACTAAAAAGATAAGAAGCTAAAAGAATTGTTGCATTATAATACTTTTGATATATTATAGGTGTAATATAAAAATTTTAATTTTTGAGAGGTACAAAATAAGAATGTTAAATTTTTTTAGGGTACAAAATACAAAAAACCCGACATGATTTAATCCAGTTATGAACTTCTACTTCCAATTCAATTCCAAACATCAAAGGCAAACAATATGCTAAATGGTATCCATCGTGGGGCTTATTGTACCCAAATTTGTCTAGGTCTAACTACAAGTTACTATAGAGAGGACCACACATGATGTACCATAACACACACACAAGAATGTAATCACCCAATTAAACATCATTCCAATGCTAAACTTTGGCTATGCCTTAATTTGGCACCCTTAAAAGTTTGGATGCAACTTACCCGAGTGTTCCACTATTAATGAAATTGCCCTAATACCCTTTAACACATAGTTGTTATCAGAATTCACCTTTATAAGTTGATTGTGCCTTAATTCACAATAGTATTAATGATTCACGGTATGAGTATATTGATAATCTATATATTATAGTTGACATAGTAAACACTTGGTTCATTCATCTAAGGTTGGATTAGGTTTGACCCTCAACCAACCTAATTTGTCCGAATTGCACCCCTATACCTTGTTACCATATATACATGTCCTCATAAACACTAACCAAAAATCAAAGGAAAGTGTTTATTTAGACATTACTGAATTTATTAATCTAATGTACTATAGTCGATTTAATTCAAAATGAATCCGAATTAATAATAAAGTTTATTGTCAATCTAATGATAGATAATTATTATATTAGCAAATCAGATTCAAATAGCAATTTGCTCGAAATCAAATTTGAAAAAACTTAGTCCCTACAACTTAGGGTCAACCTCAGAAAAAAATGATCAATTACAGCTTAAGTTGAAAACTAATTAATCTAGTAAAGCTCATTTACAACTATAACTAATTGATTGTTGGTTGTTAGTCAATTTAACCTTTAAAACTGGATCTGATCCTCTTTCTTATTATTTTTTAATTTCCTTCTAAGATGACGTGGCAAATTTTGAGTGGGTGACAAAACCTTTTTCTTCCCGAAATAGCAAAATCAGGAGTGGAAATAGTGAAAATTTTTTAGTTTGGAATTTGGAAAGTTTGAACTGTACCTCTATCCCGCTCTCACGCTCCGCTTCTGGATATTTTTTCTCTCTCTCTCTCTCACACACACAGAGTCTGTCTGTACCTCCGCAGTGTATGAATGTCCAGAAGAGTAACGTAGCACTAGCTCTGCAATCTCCGGCCCGGCATTGAATGGTCTCGGAGCACTCAAAATGCAGAGTAAGCTCAGCTGTTACTCTCTTTCTCTCTCGCTTTCGCTATCTATGCGCATATATGTAGATGTGTATAGCACGCATACAATTCATGTATAGGAGATTGAGTCTGATACATTCTGTTTCGGTGGACTGGATAATGATATTTGCGTTGTAATTTTGAGGTTCAGTTTCTGAAATTTACTGTACAAATTCGCCACGCAGATCTACGACATAGATTTTAACTGAATTATTTCTTTGGACCTTTTTTTTAAACCTCGATTTGAGCTATATTTACGTAGAATTCTTTCTTGTTTCGAGTTTTGTGCTACATTTCTGTGTCTGTAGTCGAGGAAATCTTGGTCAGAGCAAATTAGTAGAGGAATTTTGGGTTACATATTTTGGCGTGGCGTTTGATTCTTTGTGATTTTGACGTTCTTGATGCATAGATAAATCAAAGCTTCGAAGGATCTAGGGTTGAAAAGTCTTTATAATATTCCTTGTTGAGGTGATGTCAATCTTTGTGTTCTACATTGAGGTTTTTGTTAAATCCATTAACAACTATGAATTTTTCTTTTGTTTTTAGAAGAATCTTAAAGTGCAAGCCAATTTTTCGGCAAGAAAAGGTCTGATTCTAGTTAAAATTGTTGAAAAAGAAGTGTAGTGTTAGTTTACTAATCTTTCATTCCTCAAACATGCTTGATTTTTCTGAAATTGTGACGAGATCACACTTGGTAGTGGGTATTATCCGGGATTATTATGGAAAATATTTAGATGCTCCAGTTCTTTGGACTTAATTATAGAATTTATGCGAAAAGAAGGGTAAAATTTAAAAGTGAAATATTCAGGGATGAGCCAACTCTGGTTTTTGTTGAGACTCCTTTTTCTTCCTAATTTACTTTCTATCTCTGTGCCTGTATGTGGGTGCATGTGGAGGCATATATGTGTGTACATAAAATTTTTGTCCGATGTTTCACACCTTTTATTTGACGCTCGTCTGCAGACAAACTTATATGTACAGTTTGAAGGAGTAATGTGAATGGTAAAGGATTGGCATCATTCTGATGAGCAGGTAATTGCGGTTGAGTCTAAAATTTCTGGAGAAGAGCAGATGCTTGTTTTCCTATGAATCAGACTAAATTATGAAAAATGTTGTAGGCCTCAATCCTCTCAACTACAAAAGTATGACAAGTGATCATCGCTCAATGTAAGGCATATCAATTTAAGGCTATGCATCACTATCCTATCAGGCATGCAATTATGAACAAAGAAAATAGAACTAATGCTACATTTCAAGAGCCCATGCGAATCACACGGTCACGAGCTAAAGCCTTGGGCTCATCTGGAGGGTTACCCCCGCTAAACCCTTCTGCAAAACAGGTTCATAAGCGAGTACTTCAACCAAATTCCAAAAGAGCAGCGTCAGATGATAGCAAAGCTGCCGTCAGTGCCAATGTTGGTCTTCAGCATAAGAAAAGGGCTGTTCTCATGGATGTCACAAATGTCTTCTGTGACAATTCGTATATAAACTGCATCAATGCCGTCAAAATTCAGGTCAGATTGCCACCATTCACTTTTGATTTTATGTGTAACATTCATATGGCAATTAAACCCCTAAAAACTCTGAGATTTTCATCAAAATTTCAGTATTTGTAAAAGTAATTTCTCAAACATGCAAAAAGAAACTTCTCATTTCCATGTGCTCGGTATATGAATTTATAATCTTTTGATTTTTCTGCTATCAGCCTAGCAAGCAGGCTAAGCAAAGCACAGCGAAGAATAAAGCAAAGGTGGCACCAACTGTTTCTTTGGAGAATTTGCGGAACCAAGAGGATACACATACAGAAGTAAAAACAACTCAAGAAATAACCAATCTAAAGGTGAAGGATTCACAAGAAAGTGGTCCACAGTTACATTTCGATGAAGATTCAATGATTCGACAAGGTAAATGTATCAGCATAAAAGACGCTGCTGTAGCAGATCAATTGCCTATAAAACAAACTTCCACTAAGCATGCTTCACTCCAAATCCCGTCACTGAAAGGTTAAATTATTTCTATCAGCTTTTCCACAGGGTCACAATGCATACATGACTTATTTCTATTTTGCTTAGCACAATATGTATTTTGACATCCTAATTGTTACTTATAATGGCTTAGGGACATTGTAATCCTCCTTTTCATGAGTGGTGGTTCTGTTATGATATAGTTGACGAACTATGCTAACTGTTGAAATGTTTGAAGTACACATTTTGGACTCCATAAACACAAAACGATGGAACAACTACATAATTTTTTTTTTTTTTTGTAATTGGACAATAAATCTTCATATATTTTATTGTCATAAATTGTGGAACAGTTGCTTGTATAGGAGTGAAGGGATGATGGTTGTATCTGGAAATTCCACATAATGAGTAGTGTTAGGAACATGGCTTTTGTAACATATTGTAAAGATCTTATTGGGATTCCACTAAATATTATGTGTCCAAGACTAAACCATGTTAGGCCACATTCCACAACTATAATGCTTGGAGTTACTTGCAGAGTCATTGTAGCACTAGGTTTTTGAAGTTATCAACAAGCTTTCAGCAAGAGTAACCTCAGAAGGTAGACAAAACTGTTATAAGTTACCAAAGAATTGCTTCAACCGAAGAATCATAATATGCTGAATTGTTTTAGCGCGACTATTACCAATAATAGCTCCTTTATTACATTCAGATCTCAAATGTCCATTTAGCAATTCGTGCCTACTTTATTTTTTGTTTTGTTTCCCCAGTTGGTCGAAGCATTCTTGTTTATATATCCCTTTTGACAGTACAAGTAAAAAATTGAGGCCATGCATCATGCTTCTTCAATATCATATTTAGTTACATTTGGGAAAATGATTTTGTTGAATTAAGGGTTCTCTCATTAAGTGTTTGCCCAATATGATGCCCATTTGGTTCTATTATGCAGAAGAAGGCAATCTTTGCTGCAAATCAGAGGCCTTGCATAGTCTAGGTATTGCAGATATTGATTCAAACCACAAGGATCCTCAAATGTGCAGCATGTATGCCCCAGATATATACAATAATATACGTGTTTTGGAGGTCTGTATAGCTGCCTCCCTGCTGTTATTTCTTAACTCTTGCTGACAATTTCTTAATGCTCCATAATGTTGTCCATGCTCGCTTGCATACCCTTTTGCACAAGTAGCACAGCATGCTACTGTATCTAATAAGAAAATATTGAACCTCTTGCCTTCATCACGTAAATATACTATTTGTTATTCACTCAGCATTATCCCTTGTTTCAATAACCAGGAGGATTCAGAAAGATGAGGTTTTAGTTGTTTTTTCCTTCTATGAAATAAATGCAAGGAATTTATTGTTTCTGTTAAACTTCATCTTGGTACTGATCAACAAAAAAAAAAAAAAAAAACTGTGCAAAGGGAAGTACTCACTTATTTTGAATTCCCTATTAATTTCAGCTCAGCCGAAGGCCCTCCGTTAATTATATGGAAATGTTGCAGCAGGATATCACCCAGGGCATGCGAAGTATTCTGATTGATTGGCTTGTGGAGGTTAGTCTAGTAAACTGACGTATGCATGACACCGTATTATACAACATATGAATGTCATTGTTTGGAGAGGCGTTCATATTTTTTCAAGAATATGTGAAAAAGCTTGGGGAATTTCCCCTGAAGAATGTAAAAGTTGCAATAGCCAACAAAGTGGTCTTTTGTGCTTGATAGTGTCTGGATAAACAAATATCAGAGTACCATCTCATTAGTTCTTACAGTGGTTCCTTGAAAGCTTCATGTCCTTGCAGAGTAGCATCTTCGAATCTAATTTTGTTTCCTGGTTTAATTGCATGTCTGTGTTAGAATTGCGATTACATTACCAAAAAGCAGTGAGCTCCAACCTTTGGCATTCAATATCAATAGAAAGTCACAGAGGCACTACTGTTTTTTCTGCAAATCTAAATGGCTGGTTATTTTGTTTCCAACTTTTCCTTTTGTTTCTCATTTACTTAAAATGTGTTTCAGTTGTCATTTTATGAGTAGGGTGTTTGCCCTTGATCCTTCTTTTATTGGGGTCTGTATCTTCTTGGGTTTTCTAGTATTATTACCCATGATAATGCTAGCCATTACTTTGTTTCCCCTTTTTCAGGTTTCAGAAGAGTATAGGCTGGTCCCAGACACTCTTTACCTGACAGTAAACCTCATTGATCGATTCCTCTCTCAGACGTATATTGAAAAACAAAAGCTGCAACTGCTTGGTGTTACCTGCATGTTAATTGCCTCGTAAGTCTTTTGTTCTATGGGAATTATTTTATTTCAATTTGAAGAATCAGTTTATTGATGGATGCCAGCAATTCTCTCCGTTTAACTCTCTCCTTCTAGGGTTCACACAACCACGCATGCTTATGCTTGCTTAAATCCTCCTGTGCTCACTAAAAAACCAAAAGAAAGAAAGAAAAATGTGTCTCTGGAGAAGAACCAACAGTTCATCACTCTTTGCTTGCACCCTATTACAGAAATTAATTTACCTTGTTTATGGTAAACATATTATATATTCTTGCATGCATCTGATAATTCTAGTTTTTATTATGTAGTACTAAACACTTATTGTTCTTATACATTTATGGCTTGAAGCAAGTACGAACAAGTTTGTGCACCCAGTGCGGAAGAGTTTTGCTTCATCACAGACAACACCTACACAAAGGGAGAGGTATAGTATATGCTACTCTTGAAGCTAAATTCTTCTGTGTGGATAGTTCAATACTAATTAGTGAAACAAACAATGCAAGTGTACAAAAGAGCAGCAGTACTAAATAAGGAGGGAGGAGAGCAATTCTACTACTGCTGGCCCTGTTCAAATCCTATTTCAAGATTTACTCATAAAAAGAAATCCTATATCAACTATATTCAAGCTTTATTTTCAGTGTGCTCCTCTTCACATCAAAGATTGACTTTGTGCTTAAAAACATTCTGCAAATATTTGAGCAAATTTTCTCAAGTTTTAGGCTTCATATAACTCCTGACCATCTTTTTGGTCTGTGCCCTTCTTTCATTTGCTAACTCCTGCCAAATTGCATACATTTATGGTTGATTTCATTTGGTTAGTGGCCGTATATTCTGGATCAGTCCCGAGTCCTGGGTATCCTGACTGCCTTAATGGTCTTTGAACCCACCTTCCCCCTCAACGTCTTGCCAATCTTAAAATATCTTGGTTGCCTCTCTTGTTCCCATTTGCTTTTTCCTCCAGTTTTTCCATTGTCAGATCTTATGATCATATCCTTAATTCCACTTAAATAGTTCCAATTGCATTCTAAAATAATGGGCTTGTGTTCTCAATTTATGGAAGTGCTTTTCGATTTCATAATGTGTGGAAACTCATCACTAAGGTTACATGGCAGGTTTTGAAAATGGAAAGTCGAGTTTTGAACTTTTTGGGCTTTCAATTGTCTGGTCCGACCACAATGAAATTCCTTAGGTACTATTGCATATAAACTTGTCTGAGTCTTCATTCTTAGTACAGTGCCATCTGACTGAATCCACCGGAGCTTCTAATGTTCCTCTGTCCTATTTTTCAGGAGATTCATTCAAGCAGCACAAGCTTGTTATAAGGTACTTTTGATGGTGTTACTCGCACATTCTGTCTCTGCATGATAAATTCACACGAGAGGTAGCTTCTTTTGTGTAATATATTGCTTTAACATGCAGGTTCCTTGTGTTGAACTGGACTTCTTGGCAAATTATTTAGCGGAATTAGCTCTTGTCGACTACAGTTTTCTGAAGTTTCTACCGTCCCTCATTGCTGCATCTGCTGTGTTCTTGGCGAGGTGGACACTTAATCAATCAGACTACCCATGGGTCTGCATTCTTTGTGCCTCTTCATGCCTTTTAAATTTCTATCTTGTTTGTTTCTGACTAAGAAAACTAACATATAAAAGCTTCGTGCAGAATCCAACTCTACAGCATTATACAAGTTACAAGGCGTCAGAGCTGAAAGGCACTGTTCTTGCTCTGCAAGATCTGCAACATAACACTAATGGATGCTCTCTCAATGCTATACGCGAAAAATACAAGCAACAAAAGGTAACAGATTATGTGACTACTTGTTTCTTTATTTACTTGGTTTTGTATGCCAAGTAGGGGCAACAAAATTCAGAAGTTTTACTAGCATCAACAGTGTTACACATTCTGAATAGAGTTGTTTCAGTTGCAAAATGTTTATCCCTCTTTAATTTTCATAATTTAAACATTTTTGAGCTCTATCTGTCATGAAAATTTTAATCTGCTTTTGAGTTTCTGATTGATGCATCTGTACTGTTATGGCACCTTCAGCGTAGTTGCATATAAGATTTTGTTATGTTATGTTCTGATGGAACTGGTTAATTTTATTATGACAGTTCAAGAATGTGGCAACTTTATCTTCCCAAAACTCTGTTCAATCACTGTTCTAATGTCTTAAAGAGTAGCTGATTCTTTCTGCATAAGAGGAAATATTTATGATGGAACCGCTCTTCATATGATCTGGGGGTGATTTTGCTCTCATTTCGAACACCAAATTTATCAACTTTCATAAGTGTTCATTCTTATTTTTTTTCTTTGCAACCTGCTATCATTATTGTATAAGTGTATTTGGTTCTGGTGCTTCCAGACCTGTCTTTGTAATGCTGGAAATGTATAAGCAAGGAAAATTCACAAGTTACTAACATTAAATGCCTTTTGGCATGTATTGTAAAACTTTCTAATCTGTGGAAATTAATTTAACAGTACTCAAGAACTATTTGCAGGGTTGTAAATTTGATAATGATATTTTTATCCCGCTCCTGAGTATAAAGTATCTTTTGTTTCTTTTTGCTTTTTTAAGTATTTTTTGACTAGCATTAGTTGAGTTTTTTGGTTTTTTCTTGTCTGGTTTGTTTGCTTGTTACAAATTTAATTGCATGTATGGTGTAAACAACCGAGAAGCACTGTAATAGTCAGATGAATTGCTAGTTGAATGTGGTAAGTAGTAGAGGTAAATAAAGAAAATGCAAAGAATAGAGGGGTTTGTCCTGCTGAAGAGCAAGGCTCTTGCTCCTTGAGGGTGTTTATTGCTTAGAGAAGAGGATACATAGTAAGGTTTTCTTAGGGGTAGTGTATTGGTTTACACCCCTTGTTACATTGTTTTTCATAACAGATTTCTCAGGGAATATTTAGCTGTAGAAAGTTTTTTGCCCAAGCTGTCATATAATTTCTAGAAGTGGTAACGTGTTGTCTACGGTAAGGTTTTCTTGTGAAGTTCCTTTAGGTAGTTTTCGTGTTAGAGGTAAAACTTTAATCGGTGTTTTTCACGTTTTTTTACCCAACAATGATTGCTTTATATATATAGAATATAATTTATTATTTCAATCTATTTTATTATTTTTATTACTAATAAACTTAAATAATTCAAATTGGAATTCATTGTTAAAAATGATTTTTCAATACCATGTTAAAAGATTATATTTCATTTCCATAATCAGGCTAAACTATATAATTGTGCCCAAATGTATATTATATCAAAGTAAGTAGTTCCTAAAGACTTTCCCTTTTTGAATTTTGTACACATGAATTTTTGCACCATTTCATATTTATTGATTTTCTTTTTTTTTTCCAACAAACATAATATAATTATCTTTTGGGCTTGAACAGATTTACTTGCTTTATTTATTTATTTATTTATTATTTTTAGTTTTCTTGTTTTTTTCATAACAATGTAAATCTATATTTCTCAATTGCAAATCACTCTGACCAAAAAAAAAATTGCAAATTACTTGCTATAAATTTAAATTCAGTATATTATAATATTAGTTGATGTATATGTGTGTTCTACTTGTATTATTTTATATTATTATTTTGATTTTCATTTATAAAGTTAACTAACACAGTAAATGGACTAAATCTACCAATAATATCGTAAATTGTAGACTTACCTTAATAGGTGAAGCTCAATGCATCCAAAACTAAGTCAAAATAGGAACACTACAACACTGATATCATAGCCAAAATAAATGTTTGTTGATTAGAATAAAATAAAAAAATAAATTAAAAACTTCAACTTTCTAGTAGTGAGGAGTATGAACATCTTTAGGCAATTTGCCTAAGATGCAAGTCACAGAAATGTCCAATGGGTCCAAAATAGTGTAAAGACCTTATTCATCCAAATATATGGTTTGATTGTGTTTTTAGTCTAACCTTATTTTGAAGGATTTTATAAGCTAATATAATGAATGATTCATTTAAATTTAGAGCATAGTAAGAATTGTTCTAACAAAAAAATTGAAGGGAGACGTCACGCGTTTGTCGAATGAAAAGTGTTTTTTTTCATTGTTTGAGAGAAGCAAACTTCCAAAGGAACTATGATTCCATCGAAGATTTATTTCATCAATTGAATACATGTAATTGTTCATTTTGAGCTGTGGTTTCTAAAAAGTTTACAATATACTACAAATATGTTCAACAAAAAAATAACACACAATAGTACAAGTATAAACAGTAAAATTCCTTAACTCTCTAGAATTATCTACAAAATAGTCAAAGTGCAACTTTTGATTCATATGTTTTTGTTTTCCAAAGGGAATGATAGACATCTCAAGTTCATTAACTGATGTTATAAAAGAAAAGTCTAAGACATGGTAAGGCTTCTTGCATGAATACTCTTAACCCAATTGACCTTGTGGATATAATAATATTCTTGATCCCCAAATTAATGCATATACGCCCACTAAATTCAGTATTAAAAACCAAAATAGTCTAAATCTTTAGTTGACCATGATACACATACAGTTTTGATTTTGCCATCGACGTCATTGCTTTAAAGCCGAATAGAGCGGGCTCAAGTATACGAGCGAAGGAGCGATCTCCATGAGGGATGAACCACAATTCAAAGGGAAAGAGAGAGCGGTTGATACGCGAGCGAGATTGTCAGTGAATCAACTAAGTCAATCACTTTATGCTTTGCACTCCGGTTCTTGATTCCTCCTTACACTTTGATCCCACGGATAGTTCTACTATGTTTAACACCAACTTGTAACAATCAAAAATGAAGAATAAGCTAGTAAGTGGAGAAAGAGGAACGGAGGGAGATCAACATTTTACAAGCACTAAGCTAGTACACTTCCAAATTGCTATAATTCATATTTAAATATCGGAATCTAATCTTATTAGTTTCAAAGTAAAGACGAACAATCATAGCAAATGACTAATTGGTAAAAAAAATGATTGAAACAGAGCATAAGAGACAATGGTATGTTCTTAGTTTTGTAGGCCATTGGAAATGGACAGAAGATGACAGGTCCACTTTTTTTTAAAGTCCACACGGCACGGAAGAGGATAAAGAATCCAATTAGTTTCAAAAAATAGTGATAAATTCAGGCTTCCAACTCAATGGTGCGAGTAAACAAATTTCAGAATAAATCCAATTGGTAATGTCAACATCCACAAATTCTTTGTTCTTTGCCAACGAAACCTCAAAAGCTTACGAAAGTCATTTTTAAATAAAAATTAGACTTTATAATCTCAATATTGATTTTACTGTGAATTCCAACATTTATTGGGACCCACTATTTATTCAATGATTGAGATTATCAAATCTAATTTTTAAGTCTACGTAGCATTACTGTTTTAATATATTCCATAAACTTATCTCCCTACATTATCCTAATTAATGTGCATTTGTTTATAATAATCAAGAGGCAGGGGGTGAGGGAGGTAAATGAGAGTTGTTGTACATTAGCATTACTACAATTAAACAGTTATTTTGAGAATACATACATAGGGTCTAAAATGATATTAAAAAAACAGAGAAGAAAATAAAAGAAAGGGACTTATTGAGTAAATGCCACCTTAAATTGGGAGATGGAACATATATGATGCGCATAAAAGTATATTATTAGGTAAGTGTTTATACAATTAATAAGGGTAAATTTGAAGATTAAAAATTTTCTTATTTAGCTATATTTTACAAAATTAGATATTGCACACGTGCACATTTATTTTGATTTTATATTTATTATATCGGTATATAAATTAATTTGTTTGGAACTGGAATACTATGAGAAATTCCCTCAAACATGTTTTTTGTAATTTGTGAGTCATATTTTATAGTTTAATTGTAAATGTGATAAAATACATTTGTCACATACCTACAACAACAATCTTTTCTTTCAAAGTTTAAAGACAATAAATGATCAAACCAATTTTGTCTAGTTTAATTGACAACTCTTCAATCTCTTAAGACTATACCAGCTAAGAGGTCAAGTGGTCAATTCTTGCCAAATGTAAGACTCAGTTTTTTATGTTGCCATCTTTTAAGATTCTATTATGTCTTTTTTTAATATTTCTCTTCAATTCTCTATAAATATTTTGTTCTTTTATATAGATATGCATTATGCTAAACCTTTAATAGTGATTTGTCAATGCATACTCCTATTGGTTGAATACATAATTTCATTTAGGATAATTCTATGTGCACCGCACTGATGAGACTCATTGATCTAATGACTGCAAATGATTTAGTGCATATTTTTGGTACACATAGTATTGCTATTTCATTTATCAGCAATTATTTACACTCATAACTAACAAAATTTAAGAGTGACATGTGGAAGAGATCCAATAGTCATGAAGTATATGAGAGTTCATGTTTGATAGACGGTTAAGAAAGTGCGACTCTAAGATTCCCGAGAATAGGGAAGATGTGATATCATAAGTCATTAGTTAGAACTGGTTTAACACACGTCTGTACTTCTCGAGAAAAGACTATTATTACAGTCATGGCCACAAAGGATGATTTTGACGATTGAAGGTCATCCTTATCAATAACAAATACAAGACTAAGGGAAAAAAGATCCATGATCAAACATAACAAATTCTACATAGAGTCAGTCTTTCTTCTACTTACTTGTTTTTATTTCTAAGCAATTTTACTTTTTACTGTAATCCATTATTTCGGTGATCTTTATTGCTTTTATTTAACGTTAAGTATTGTACGTATTTCATCTTTCAAACTTATGTTTTTTTGCTATTTTGCCTTCAAGTTTCCTTTCTACATTCTAGTCCATTACGTTGCTAGTTGAAAAATTATTTAAAGTCCTTGAACCTGAATGCATAAAAAAGAACTCAAAGGCAACCTTACGTCTTGCTACAATCGCCTGAATAGTCTCGATTTAAGACGCATGTATCTAACTTTTTATATAAATATGTATTAACAATGTCCATAAGACGCATGGGTGAGTCATTCTGAGACTGTTAGATTAATAAGATATTGAAATGTAATTGTATCAATTACTAGTGAGTATATTTTTTCATAATTAATTACTTGTGCTACTAGGCACGCTTTGTATCTTGTGATCTCATTTTTGTTATTCATTTTTTTCTCATAAAAACTCATTTATGGCCAATAGGTTTTACATCGTTATGTATTTGGTGTTATAGTCTAATACACTAATATCTACTAATTTCTATTTACTTAGAGTACTAATTACAAGGTATATATATATATACATATATTAGTTATTACTCGTGTTTGAAGACACTATACAATAAATAAAAAAATCTTAAACAATTGTCCAAATTCAAAAGGAATGACATAAAAATATTCGTACTAATTTTTTTTTAAATGACTCGAAATATATCGTCGATCATATCCTTTATATTAATGGAACTGTCATAAAAATATATAAAAACTCCCCAAAATAACACTATATATATAAATGCCTCTGAAAAAAATAAATACAAACATAACCCGTTGAAATTTATAATCTTTAAGCAATAAATAAAATCTTGTTCATTTATAACACTCATGAATTTATCACTTCTACTACAATTCAATCCAATAACACAAAATAATTATAAACTCAACCACCATATTTTCAATCCATCATATTCCCATGTAATAAATACCTCAAGCAAAAAAAAAGAAAAAGAAACTAACAAAATACAATTAAATTCACAATCTTAAAACAATAAATAAAATCAATCAAATCATGCTCATAAATTTATCACTATTATTACCATTTAACCTCAAAATGACATAATATAATTATAAATTTAATCACCAAATTTTTAATCCTCCACAGATAAATATACACAGAAACATACTCACACACATTTTTTTTGGTTACCAACAAACTCTCCTAACCAATAAATGTTTTTATTAGAAATATAAGAATTCAAGTTTGTACGATAAAATAATAATAAATTAATATTTAATTAAAAAATAGGGTAAAAATTAAGGACATAGCCTAAGTTTTGGTAATATTACAAGAACACCTCCTGATATTTTATACATAACACGGAGACCCCTGATGTTTAAAATATATTGCATAGAGACTCTATCTGTCTCCCTTCTGTTAATGTTGCTAACAAAAATTGATATTTTCTTATCAAAAAAATTTATTATTTTTACATTTGCCTTTCTCCAAATTCAATACAAAATTTTTTTTTTTTAATAAAATCAAATAAAATTTGATTTAGTATCCAAAAAATTGATATAATTTAATACTCCAAAAAAATTAACTAAATAAATTTTAATATTAATTTGATAACAATGAAAATTAATTTGATATTAATTCAACAAAGTTGAATATAAATTAGACAAAATTAAATGTCATTTTTTGATAAAATTATATATAAATTTACAATTTAAGATTCATTTCGTATTGAATATTATTTAGTGTTTATAGTCAATGTGCTATTTTTTGATTTACATTAATGTTATTTTCAAATTAAGAAGCAAGTGGTAAAATACACGTTAGTATATAAAAAAATTTAATTAGTTTCATGAAATAAATAATTACATAACATGCAGTTTCATCTGTTTTATGGTGTAAATAATAACAAAGATAACACAGAGAAAAAAAAAATACGAGAGATAAAGAGTTATATGAGAGATGAGAGTCTTAGAGTTATAAAAGAAATGAAAATCTAATTAGGACTATCAGATCAAAATAATTTGAATCGCGAAAAGTTCAAGACAAATAATTTAGTTAATATACACACAATATAATATTTACAACAAGGATAAATTTATAATTTTCTCTATAACATTTTAAGTTAGGCACACTAGCCATGAGTCCTGTATCGAGATCTAGATTTTTATTATTGTCATGAACTATGAACAAGTGAGTCCTCAAGAGGCGGAACAATAGAGCATTGAAACCCAAGAGGTAGATCAAAAGAGAAAATGATAAGTTATAAACTCGAATATCTTGATTTTGAAATTTTAATAATTTTTTTGGTATTAAACAATGAAAGATTTATGCTTCATAAATTCCTTAATATTAGCATAAATGACTTGTTTTTAACCTGATAGGATAGAGATTAGTCAAGGTACACGTAAGTTAATCCAAACACCCATAACCTTAATTTTTGGTCATTTTTAATTTATTCCCTTTATATCGTAATTTTATCCTATTTACTAATTACTATTATTTACAAATAAGTATGGCTTGAATCTATAGTTTTACTCTAAAAAATTATTCATACATCACTTTTTAAAATTCTTTCTTATTGAAAATTTATTTTACAATAAAAATTTTGAATTAAAAATATATTCATATTTTCATATACATAACAAGAAATTAAAAAGTATGATTAAATGAGATTTAAATTAAAAAATGACTCACAAGTAAGAAAATAAAATAAAAATGATTGTAGTAATAATAAGGGTAAATTTCTATGGCATCCCCTAAAAATGGTCTAATTACAGGGACATCCTCTATAAATTTTAAACTATCAATGTTATCCGCTTTAGTTTATATATTCATTCCACATACCATTGAGAATGTTAGTGACGATGGTAGCCAATATTCTTTCATAAATGATCTTTTAATTATGTATAACTCTTGTACCTAAATACCTTTATTCTTTTCCCAAATAAAGTTAATCCTAAAAACAAACAACTCTTATGTCCTTTAATTTAATCTTCTACATATCACACACACAAATGCACATACTCATACACACAAGTATATGTACACATACAAACACGTTCATCTAATTTGTAAGTTAAGAAAAAATTTAGGCCTCGCTGTTACTTATCACACACATACACACGGTATATGTACATACACAAACATGTTCATCTAATTTGTAAGTTAATAAAAAATTTAGCCTTCACCATTACTTGTCACAACCCAATTTCACACCTTGAAAGTTAATTTGTATTGAATTCACAAAGTTAAAATGCTAAATTGGTATGAAGTTGATAAAATTAATGTTAAGAATAGAAAATTGAATTTAATTTGGGTTTAATGAGATAAAATTGAATGTTAATTTAGTACTAAATTATTAAAATTGAGGTGAATTTGATGAAATTAAGTTTTAACTTAATGAAATAGAAGTTCAATTCGATGTTAATTTGATGCAACTAAATTTTAAGTTAAAGAAATTGAATATTATTTTGGCATTAATTTAATGAAATTCAATTTTTAAAAGTTAATTTGGTGTAAAATTGATGAAACTAGTGTTAGTGTGATTAAATTAATATTCGAATTGATAAAATAAATTTTAATTTGATGAAATTGAATGTCACTTAGTATTAATTTAATAAAATTGAATATCAATTAATATTAATTTAATAAATTAAATGTCAATTTGTTGAATTGAAGATCAACTTAAGGGATGTGTGTATAACATCGAGTATAAATAAGGATAGACATTCGTGAACTCTCAAAACATATAAATCTTATTTTATTATTGATATATATATATATATATTTGGTTAAATATTTGTTGGACCAATATTAAAATAATTTAATTATAGTTAAAATAACTTTTATTTTTTTATATACACTTATATATATATATTTATATATAATCTAAGGTCAAATCAAGTGATAAAGTTTATAGGACAAAGAAAAGAATATTCTGCTAGGGGTAGCAATGGTATTTAACATTTTAAGTTATATATGTTTAAGACAAAATCTGGCTGGGGCGACAGTGATATTTCAGAAATCATGAGAGGTGTCTCTGTAATCAGGTTATTTTTAGGGAATCGTTGGTGATACAACCAGCTGAAGCTGTGAGAAGCAATGAAAAGTCTCAGCTGACGCAAATCTCTGTCTCTGTCCTCTCTCTCTCTTGTGGAAGAAAAGGCGTGAAATTATATATGACTCAGTAAATCAAATCAAATCAATCTGATCACTGAAATTTTTCTAATTCATTCGGCTTTCATCGTCTGCTTTAACTTTTATGCTCTCTCTCTGGTCAGCACTCTTTTCTAACTCCCTCGTTCTTCAGACCCATGCACACATATTCTCTATATTGTTGTTTATTCTAGCGGAGATTGATTGTGTTTGTTTGGATTATTTGGTTCTTGGGTGCGATTATATCTGAGGTTTTAGTGTCAATTTGATGTTTGTTTATCCATTTTTTGAATTACTTGATCTTCAATTAAAAATAGCCAATGTTGTAATTGTAGGTTAAATCTGTGATTGTTTTTTTGTCTGGTTAGTCTGGGTTGTCTTGCCTTTGAAGAGTAGGTAGTACTTCAGCTGTGGGTATGTGGATGGGTGATGAATTAGGTATTAGGGTAGAAATATTTTGGCTGGGGTTTCTCATTTCGTGTTCATAGTTTGATCGTGGGAATGTATAATTTAGCCTATGATCAAACACTTGTGATTAGTAGCTCGTGTATTGTGATCCATATATATATATTTTTTTAATGCTCTGTTTGATTGTTTGGAATTGTCTGGACAGAAAGAGATTGAATCGTTTTTTTTTTTTTTTGGGGGGGGGGGTTTGTTGATTCTGATGATATTAAAAGGGGAAAGTTCAACTCAAGTCATAGGTGAACTAACTAGTTTGGAATTGGCGAGTTATGAGTTTGTATGTAATCCAAAATGATTTGATTGATCTTATATACTTTCTTTTCCCTCTTCTTCTTACTTTTTTCTCTGGCAACAAAAGGGTTATATTCTCATGTTGTTTCATTTGGCCTCTTCGACAGATTGAGGTTGTGCTATTTTAACAACATCTAGTGCAAAGTAATTAAAAATTTCAGCTGGGAAGCTGAATAAGACAGACATTCAATTTTCCAGATATTATTGGGCATCGAGACATCCAAGGGGGGTTTCCTCATATGCCATTCCGTGTGTGTTTCGTTTACTTTCTATTTTGTTGATGGACTTGGATGACCATTCTCTAGCTGGGACTTCATCATAAAAGCCAGACGAACCACACTTTGTCTCTAATGGAACGAACTGAGAACCATGACAGCAGTGAACACATCATTGACATAACTAGTAGCAACGGTGCTTCTTCATCAAGCTCTTCCCATTATAGACCGTTCAATGGCTTGGATTCGAGCCAGAATGAAGACCAGACTTCTACTAGTTCGAGGGTCCCTGCTCTTCAACCTTCATTTTCTTCTGCCAATGGATCAAACTCAAGGAGCTCATCATTTGTTCGAAGAGGGAATGGGCATGGCCGTCGTAGGAGTCCGTTGAATTCTGGGTTATGGATATCTGTTGAAGTCATCTTAACTGTTGGCCAGATTATTGCAGCCATTGTCATTTTGTCTTTGTCAAGGAATGAGCATCCCCGTGCTCCGTTGTTTGCGTGGATTGTGGGCTATGCGTCTGGGTGTGTTACAACACTTCCTCTTCTTTATTGGCGATACCGACATCGAAACCACACTTCTGAGCAGAATTCATCGCACTCCCGTCAAAATTCTTCCCAGAGCAACCTTTCTGCGAGACCGCCTTCTTACTCTTCTTCTAGTATGACCTTGGAGGGGGAAGATCGTGGGACAACTGGTACAGCCTCTAGAGACAATCACAATTTGGGAAGATTGAGTGCAAGGTATGGATTGTTGTTGAGTGGACTAGGTTTATCATTTTCAATTCCTTGTTCATTGTGTTTTTCTTATTTATTGAATGTTTCGTTATTTTCATGTTGAATTTGTATAAGATTGCAAGGCTATCTTGAGCTGTTCCTTTTAGGTCTGGCCTGCTCAGCTATCACTGTTCTCTTTGCAAATTTTATGTTGTGGCCATTGCACATTTGCAATACTGTTGACAACAGGAAGGGATTGGATTTATGATGTCTTTTATATGCTCTTTTGGGTTACTGTCACTTTTTTCCCTATCCTGTGTTATGGTCATTGTGTCAAGTGTAATAAGGATGGTGGAATAGGAATTCAAAATACTGCAGCAACAATGTGCCAGAATTCTAATTTGAGATGCAAAGAGTTTGTGACTCTCGATGCGGTGTTTTAGAGTTGTCATATTTTTTTTTATTTTTCTGTTCCATTACAGATGCACTTCGTCTTTTCCCCTTCTGTTGTTTGTCTCCTCATCACCAGTTAGTTATTTAGTATTCAGAACAGGTCGGCTCTTATTCTTTTATACCTCTGATATATTACCATATTGCAGCTTTTGAGTCATCACAAAATTTAACTGTGTACTGGTTTGTATTCAGAAGGTTTATCACACTTCATTGTTGGATTTAGTCCGATTAGATCAACGAGCTTGCAATATGACATGGTTGGTGAAACTTATGCTATTAGGCCACAATGATGAACTCTTTGGGCCATAAATCTTTCGGATGCCAATTGATGTCTCCTAAAGTGTATCCAGTGTGGTATTTTGGTCAACAGTTGTCAGTCCTAACTTTTACATACTTCTGTGATCTGTTCATAGTTGTTAGACTCGTTGCAATCGGAACTTGGTGGAAGAGGATGACTTTTAGAACTGGATGGATAAAGAGGAGAATTTCAAAATTGACTTCAATGGGAACAATTTTTTGAATTCAGCTTTTGTCATATCTCAATGCACCACTCGCTCCTTCATTGTGTGATTTCATTATTTTATGTTGTGAGAATTTGTGTGATTGAGGAGCTTAGCACATCTTTCCAAGTTAAACAATAGGTGCATGGAAACAGCCATATTAGAAAGCATACTCAGTACGCTTGTTTGTGCCTTGCAGACTCAAGGTTGTTGTGGAATACTTCAAGATGGCTTTAGATTGCTTTTTTGCAGTGTGGTTTGTGGTTGGCAATGTGTGGATCTTTGGGGGGCACTCTTCTTCCTCCGAGGCTCCCAACTTGTACAGGTACTGCGTAGTGGCATTTGAGTCTATGACACATTCTATTCTATGTTTTCCCTTTTCAGGGGTTCTCAACTTCTCTATTTTTCCCAACTTTTCAGGTTATGTATAGTATTTCTTACCTTTAGCTGTGTTGGATATGCAATGCCATTTATTCTGTGTGCCACAATATGCTGCTGCCTCCCCTGTATAATTTCTGTTTTCGGCTTAAGAGAGGATCTGACTCAGAACAGAGGAGCCACATCAGAGTCAATAAATTCCCTGCCAACCTACAAGTTTAAGATTAAAAAAACTAAAAATGGTAATGATAGAGAAAACAGTTCAGGTGCTGGTGAAGGTGGAGTTGTGGCTGCCGGGACAGAAAAAGAGCGTGTGATATCAGGAGAAGACGCGGTAAGTTTGTCTCCTCTCTGCTCTGGATTTCTCTGATTTGTTGATGAATAATGTGTAGCCGTTTCACTTTGTGGACATTCTGTGCATGTTTTTAACAAAAGAAATCATAGCCATTGACATTGTGTTGGCTTTTCTCTTTCACAACTAAATCTCACAAGTCAACAGCACTCTGTAGTGCAGCAAGTGTTCTAGTTTTAGTCTTAAAATATGATTTTTTCATAGATGAATATTAGCAGAAGACACCAAAATTGGCTGCAATTTGGTTACAAATGGTGTGTACAAAAGGAGCATACAATATATATATGTCTAGACTCTAGATTGATAACTAGGTTCCTTACAGAAGTTCTCACAGAAATTCAACACGTTCTTGCAGAACATCAACAAAAGGTACTATGTAATGAACAGATGATTTCATATTTCCCAATTGGAACTTGAAGATGAAACGCATTGACTCTTCGCTTTTGTTCCCTACAAGATATGATTTATCTCAACCTGGTAGATGTGAACTCTTGTTTTGTTCGTCTCCGTGTTTGCTAATATGATGAGTATTTGCTGTTTTATAGAACTGAACATTTACTTGCTAAATAAAAGTGCAGAATATTTTGAATGGTGCACTGATGTTTTATGTTTATTCAGTGGATTCCGATTTCATATCGCTGCCCTATCCTAAACTTCTTCAAGTGGTAAATGTAAATCACTCATTAGAAAATAACAGTAGTGATAAAAGACAAGTCAAATTGAGCATATTTATTGGGGTAAATTACAGTGACATCCCCTGACATATGGTTTTATAGTTTAGCCACCCCCTAACTGTTCAAAAAATGCATAAGAGAACCCTATTGGAGTTCCTTGTTGAGAAAGAACTTATTTTCCCTTCAAAATTAAATTTACTTATCCTTCAAAATTTGGTCAAAATTCATCAAACGAGAAATAAGGAAGGTAATCTTGGCGTCTAAAGCATTAGTTTTGTTGATGCAACGAAAAGGAGGAAAAACAAAGGAAAGAAGACATTTTGGAATAGCAAAAGTGAATTAGAACTTTTCATTTTCCCATCGGTAATCTATTTTTATTTTGAATATATGGATCTTAACTTTCCCCAAAAAAACTTATATGGATCTTCCTAGTCACTGTTTCAAGCCACATATTTTGAAGATGGCTGCACAGTTGATTTGGGACCTAACTCGTACCTAAATTTGGGATTGAAACTATATATGGATTGGTAAAGATGAATGCTACAAGGTTTACAAAAGAGTTTTTGTAGACCCTAGTTCCCAGGCTCGAGAATAAAATTCTAGAACCAATAGCCACAATAATTGGTTGAGATACATGGCATGGCTAGGATTACTTGCACAGTTGACTACTAAGATTTAGGGTTCCTTGTCGAAGTAACCAATTATGAGCTTCAGTTTGCTGAACAAGTTTAACCTTTACCGTTGAAGTTGCTTTTCTAGAATCTTTGTTTAAAAAGCAATTAATCAAATTAAACATATGCTGCAATTTAAATTTGAAGGGACCCCTAATAGCTGGGTGTGCAAATCACATGTTCAACTTATTCAGTCAAACTAAAGGCGCACCTAATTCACACAACTCAGAAACTCAGCCATCCTAAAATTGCAGCAAAATACAAGGACAAAAGAAAAATAGGCATGATCATAGGGATTGATACAAAGAAGATAAACATATTCTCTGGTTAAAATAATCATGTAAAGTCATCATACTAAGTATCAAAAATCTACTCCTAAAAAGAAGTTAGACATATTCACGGGCTGAAGTATCTTTACTTGCATTTAAAATACCAAATAAATACTAAATGAGTTGACATAAGATGATTGTTATCCAGCAACCAAGTGACACCTGAAATATGTAAAACGTGTATTAGAATCACACAAACTCTAAAAGTTTACCCTTGTAGACAGAGATGGAATGAGCACTGTGAGATTGTTTTTTGATGAATGTAGTTTATTGATCTGGTGTGAAGCAACTTTTTAAGTTTGATTTCTTGTGGGGATTCTTGGACATATTTTCATTTTTTGTTTGTGGGGGATTCTTAGACACATTTGAAATGATTACCAATTAGGTTTTCAAATGGTTGGATATCTTATTTTTGCAGGTTTGCTGCATTTGCTTGGCAAAGTATGCAAACAATGACGAGCTCAGGGAATTGCCATGTTGTCATTATTTTCACAAGGAGTGTGTGGATAAGTGGCTCAAGTTAAATGCCTTGTGTCCCCTCTGTAAGGGTGAGGTTGGTGAAAGCATTTTGAGTTCAATCTCTGAAGCAACTGCCAGCCTGCAACGGAGTGCTGTTTAATGAGATGAATCTGGGCTCAAATTGGCCTTATATAGGTTGGTGGGCTGGGAATTGATCGTGTATTGCCTTTTTTCAGCACTTTCTATATGAACCTGTACTCAAAGTATGAGAGTTTGCTTTCTGGATGGCTCTGGTTGCCCAAAAGTTCACCCTTTCCTTTAATTTTGGGTGGTTCTTTCATGAAACATTGTAGCTTGGTAGATACACGGCAGTTATGACATGTAGGATCATCCAATGGCAGAAAACCCACTTGGAGCTATCTTTATTCGGAGAATGGAAGTGAAATTGATTTCGTATAATGTCACAGCGATACATCGTTTTGTTGTTGTGTTAGTACTTTATAGTTTATACAGGTAGTACTCTTATGTAAATTCAGATTGTTACTCGTTTCAATTATATTCAAACCGGAACAGATCTCCTGTCCAGGTTGAACACCCCTCTTCCCTCTTTAGACTTTGAATTGTAATACATTTTGACAGTATTTGCCAATGCTCCTCCAAATTTGTGCTTCATCATTACAGCTTTGTTGAGTGTTGTGTTAGTGTCTCCTTCAGGGTATGCCTACAATGCTTTTCTTTGGGGATGAAGGTCCCGGCTTGGAGAAATATTTTCAGAATATTTAATCTAGCACATAGGGGTGTCAATCCATGTGACTAGCGTCATTATTATTCGTATTGTGTCTTGTTCGTGTCAAGATCAACTGAAAAAAAAATTTATTTAATGTGTTCTAAATTATAAGCATTAGTTTAGACCATTTATTATGTGTATTTAATAATTGTGTCAATTTTAGACCTACAATTAAGTCAAAGTTGACATCCCTACAATAGACCTATGTTTTACTTATTTTTCCATCCTTTTTTCTCTGATAATCTTAGGGTAGACTAAACAATTTCGTTTTGATGTATTGTTTGGATAACCTAAGAAAGAGACACGTTTTCGAAACAGAATGAAGAAGAAAAAAAATTATTTTTGAAATTTTTTGAAACATTGATCTAAATATTCTAAAACATTATGAAATATAAGCATTTTGACCTCAAAATTTAAGAAATTTTGATATTTAACGATTGATTTTTTTTTTTTGGTTAGAAATAGGTAGTTTTGTCAATTTTTAAAAAAAATTTGATCCTTGAGTAGACGTCCTAATCAATTGGGGTTTGGCAAATTTTAACCTCAGGCTAAAACAGCTCCAATTCTAGCTGGCATACTCATGTACTAATAGTCAGGCAATGCTACAATGAGAGCTTCACTTGAAAAGGCTTTGGTTTCCGGTGAAGTAAATTTTGTGGTAAACTTTAAATTGATTGAAAGATAAACCAAACCCTAATTCTAGGATCTAGAATAATCATAACATTCAAATATCAATTATACATAATTAAAATCAATATATTTAAAATACATGTATCCATTATCAAAAACAAAAAGTTCAACATTTTTCATACTGTGATCAGTATTCAATCTCAATAAAGTAGTTGATGTACGTCTGAATATCTGTAGTAAAAAAAAAAAGATTTAATCGATAATTAAAGAACCCTTTTGACATAAACTGAAAATCAGTTTCTCTGTCTTTTAACTTTTAATCTTAGATTACATAACTTTGATATGAATTTTCTATTTTATAGATAGAAAAAGAACTGATTTTCTTTTTTACTCAGAATTCTGATTTTCACCAAATTATGACTCTAACAAATCACTTCTCAATAACTAACCAATAAAAATTATTAGTTAAATAGTTAAATTAAGGTGGATAATCCCCTCATTATCACGATTCTTCGCCTATGTTTTAGTCTAGAGAAAATAGAATAACATTAACAATACTATATTCTCTGTGTTCTATTATTTAACATTAATATATTGGGATTAGGATGATTAGCGAATATTATCTAGACTTAATTTATTGATCTAATAATTTATTATTGATAGTGCTCGAAAATAGTCAGCCCAAGTCCAGATCAATGTCTTGTAAGATGCGGAGGGGGAGTATGAATATTCTAAGCTAATAGAGAAAAAGTATGGTGAGATGGGATCAAAGACAATATATAAGTGGTTCACCCTAACCGAAAAATCAGGGTTACGTCCACTGTAATAGAGACTCTTGTTCCGTACGGTTTGTATTACTCGAAGAAAAAGAAGATTACAATATGTTTCCTAGCTTAGAGCTTGAGTGAACAATGCCTTGTGAGTACAAGTTTTTTAGATATCTCTCTTACATAGCGTTATAGTGTTCTATTTATACAAGTGGTTATTTAGGATTTTTTGCGATCTTCTTCTTCCTTTTGCGGATTCTGTGGTCCCCTTCTTTTTTTCTTGTAGTGGTGATCGTTACCTTGACACAGACCATATCCACGGTCCTTCAATAGAATATACTCTAGAAGTTGTCCCCTGGTTCCCTGGACACGTGGCATGGGGGGGGTGTTTCGGAGTCTGGTGAATACCGAGCTTCTTGATCCCAAGTTGTATATTACTTAACTTGTTATGACCGAGTAGGATTGTACTAAGCTGAACTCTTTGTTGGGCTTCGTTCTTTGGGTTACGACCCATTCCTTATTACAAAACGGATGAGTTGCGGAGAGGTCTCCTGGACAGTCATGTAATCATTGGGCCCATTGAATACTTTGGATTTTGGATGGGCTGCCCATTCTAAAATCATTATCAATTATTCTTAGGTAAACAGTGGATTCTATTGTGGGAAAATTGGAAGGAGTTACATCAAATTAGGTTTAATTGTAAAAAAAATATATAAAAAAAAATGTTAGGTAATTAAGTCATTAATTTTAATACTTATTTGTATTTAAGTACATCATTTAAATTTTACTGATTTTTTATGACATTTTTGCCCTCCATTAATTATGTGTATTTAATGCACCACTTTTTTTTAGAAAGTGGTGCATTAAACATCTCCTAATTTTATGGAGAACTTTAATAATATATATATATATATATATATATATATATACACATATAAAGTCTTTTTTGTCCTTATGTATTAATGTAAACATAATACAGTGAATACATAATAATATACATTTGGCTCGTTTGGTTGCCGTATTAGAAATGGATGGATTATATAAAATAATCCACTCTAATATAATACAGCAAGACAAAAGACAATTTTACATAGGGTATTAGAATAATACGTAATTTTATTTAGTGTTTAACAATACAGAACATAAACGTTGAATAGTAGTTATTTAATTCAATCGGCTGTTTGGTTAGGAAATTATTTCATTGTATTAATGTTAAATTAATAAAAATACCCTCAATCAATGTTTGTTACATTGATGACAACTTAATTTTATCTGTTGGAGGGTTATATTAGTAACTGTGTAGAATAATACGTTTGAGGTGGATTATAATACCACCTCTCTTTGTGGTATTAAAATATTTTTATAATACATATCTATCGTATAAAAAATATACCATAAATATACGATTAGTATATGTTTTTGAAATTAATATGCTATCAAATTTACTTACCAAACAAAATATTAGACCCGATTAAATAAAAAATAATACAATCTAATATTTAATCTTCTCTCAGCCAAATTCAATATGGCCACTGCACTTTCCATATCAGTTACAAAGCATTAAAAAAAAAAGGGCTTCTAACTGATCAACTCCCACCTATCCTTCCCTCTGTCTGCAGCGTCAATGATGCTTGCCAAGTCAGAGAAATCGTTCCAATGGAGCCTCCGACGCCGCATCTGATTGACCGTGATCCACAACCGATGCATCTGATCTCCACTTAAAAGATAGGTACGACTATAATACTATTAACATTTTGTTTGCTTCCTAATGATGTTGATCTGTTTGAGTAGTAACTCGAGAGGATGCTGCATTTGAGTAGTAACTTATAAATCCTTATGTTTATATTTAAAATTTTTCATGTTATGAAGACTGTCAAATTTCTTGAGAAAATATTTTGAGGGTTTACATTCACGGCATTAGAAGCGAAAGAAAAAACTCTTACTCATCACGAAATTGCATTTATCAAGATTTGGAATGTGAAAATTTGAATGGTTAGAAAGCTAAGATCCATTTGTCAATTCACTATATATGTATTACAATCCGTAAGTGTTAGAATCGGTTTAGTACAACATATGTTCTTTGATCTCATATATATATATATATGCGTGCTAGATCTTGCACAATATAAAAACGAGAACAGATCTCTCCTTTGGTGAACTCGAGTGAGTCAATTGAGTGGTCAACCACGCTGCTTGGAACAGCCTGTGAGATTCGGTGGTAACCTGGAACGGTAATGGGTGATCCTCGCGGATCAAAGGAACGATCCAGTAAGGCTGAAGAAAGGTTCCTGGAACAAAGAAGAACAAGTTAGAAGGGCGCCGGAGTGTTTTCTGGCGTATCCCCTCCGACGATCAAGTCAATTTTTGAGGGAGAGGAAGAAGAAAACACTGAGTATAATTTGTAGCAAAAGTTTCACCTCCTTTTCCCTGCCTTTAGTGAGGAGTATTTATACCTCAAATACTCATGATTGTTGTCAGTGTGGTCAGTAGGTGATCATTAGATACAGGCAACGTGCACACTGATTCCTATGAGGAATGTCTTCTCACTTAACTGCTCGGGACCCCGAGCAATCAAGACTGTGTCATCGGCCTGCCGACGGTTCAATGAGCTCCTCTCGGGGAGGATGCAATAAATGCCCAGCCTTAGAGACATTTATTGCCTTTCACTTCTGAGCCTTACCGCATTGAATGCAGCCTCATCAAGGGAATGATGTAATTAAATGCTTGTTTTTCCAAGTCGCGTGTCAGCAAGGTCATGCGGTCTTTCTGTCTCTGATGTGACACAATATGCCAAGCGTCCATTCCTCATTGGCTGTGGCCCCTGCCTTCCTGTGCTTTCTGACACCAATTGTGTAAGACGAGGTCATGATAGCTAACCTAGCCTAGCCTAGGCTAGTGACCAGTGCATCAATAGCCTCTGCTGGAGCAGAGAACTTCATCCTGGATGAGAGAGGTACATCTCGGTCGAGGAAGAGGTACATCTCCGAGGAAGAGGTACATCTCGGAGCCGAGGAAGAGGTACATCTCGGAACAGAGGAATAGGTACATCTTGAATCCGAGAGGGGGAGGCCTAGTGACCGATGTACCATATCAGACCGAGGGTACGTGTCGGTACATAAAAACGTACTGGATGCCACTCGATCCATGGTAAGTACCTCGGGGTAGAGGGGACTTGTGACCCGATGGGTACGTGATCTCGATAACAAGGATCAGTGACACCGAGGACACGTGTCTTCATCTTGGAGTATTCCGGAAATGTCCCATCAACTGCCCCCCAGCTTTCGATCTTCTGACGTCGAGGACACACGTTGTAAGGAGACGAAGGGTTTTGCAACAACCTCAACTGCTTCATCATTGCCCCTAGTCGTTTTCCTTGCTTAGGATGTCATGCGCATTAAATGCGCCGTTTCGTGCTTCGCGCCCAATGATGGGATATGTGTTATATATAAATGGGCTTTCTC